GTGGAGACAGAGACCTCATCACCTATTCTTTGACTCTCTTCTCTCCCCTCCTCTTCTTCCTTAACCTCTACCACTCCTCCAAGACCACATCCAAGCACACCTGTGTCTTCCTCTTCACGTACTTGGACTCAACCCGCAACAACACTTGGTGATACTTTCAGCTGTCACCCCCAGAGCAGGCCTGATCACCACAGCCATCACTTCATCGACATATATAGAGACAAGGTCCTGTTGTTTGTCAGTAAAGTGAAGCATTACAACGACGGGACCACTCACCATAGCCTCTTGTGCCCGCTGAATTGCTTCATCTCTTTGGAAAGACGCATGCTGCAGGGTAGGTGTCCGGAGGGGCTCTAGATGCCTTTTTGGTGGTCCTCTGGGCAGAGGAGTGGCGAGGGGGAGTGGCCAAGGGGGGGGGAGGGCCAAACAGGAGGGGCCAGGGACAGACCAGGGGGGACGGCGAGGTCAAGACGGAGCAGTCAACCAAGGGGGGGAAGACCCCAGAGGGGGGCGGATGGGGATGGCGAGGGGCCGCAGGACAGCAGAGGCTGGAGAAACCGTGATGAAAAGGGAGGATAAGATGCAAAAGGACGAGGCGATGAAGGCAGCAGGGCCGTGTCCAGGGGAGAGGGGTCGGTGCGGGCTGCTATGTGTGTGTGCGCAGATGTCCATAGAACGAGACGTGCTGGCAATGAAGATGTGGCATGCATAGATACTTGCATCTGTGGCATAGACATCGGTCGGGCTGCTGGGTGAGCTGGCGCGCTATCAGTACTGATAAGAATGCGCGGCAGACGAGCCAAACAAAAGTGCCTGGAACGGGCTCGCGATCAACACCGTCCGTCTGCGACCTGACACGGCGGTACTCCACCCACAAATTGTATGCGATTACGTACGATGATGACCGTGAAAGGCGCGCCAACATGTAGGCACGCGCTGAGCACCCTGATCGGATGTTGATCGCCGACTTGTCCGTCGGATCGCCGACTTGTCCGTAGTTCGTCCCATCAACACAACTGCCCCCTTTGATTGCAATCATGATCAATCATGATGTTTTTACGAACGCTTTTTGTTCTTGTCAGAAAGACCTTGTTCCATCGAATTTCTCTTTGTTATTCAAGCTCATCTTTCCATCGTTCCCATTGTTCACATCGTTCACATCGTTTCAAAATCATGTGCTCACATTGTTCTCATTGTTCAAGTTGCCCCTTGATACTGTTTCGAATGGACAGAGCTCTCTATAAATATGGACAAGATTCCTCTCCTTCCTGAACTCCAATATCAAACTTACTCTCACTGACAAGCTTGAGTACTCGCCCCCTCCCCTGACCATGACACCAACAACTTCGCGCAAATCACCTGGAAGTCCTCCACATGAGAAAGTAGGTTTCTGTTCTGTCGAAGACTGGTATACAGTCTTTAGCACTTCAACACCTGGTAAGATGAATGCATTACGTACCTGGTATATAGTCTTTAGCACTTCAACACCTGGTAAGATGAATGCATTACGTACCTGGTATACAGTCTTTAGCACTTCAACACCTGGTAAGATGAAGAAGCAGATCTGTACACCAGCTATGGAAGAAAGTACCGCCAGCCAACAATTTCGTCTAGAATAGTTCCGTCACCTTACGTAACCTCGCACATCACTCTACGTACTGAACTCCAACTCCAACATGTTCTGTTGTACACCCATCTCATATGCTTATGCTCGTTGCAGACCTCATATGGAGTGAAACGCAAGTTTGACGATGAAGAGGAGAGGTCTTTATGTCATGATATCTATTGCTGCTAGTCAGCTTTACTGTCGAATGGAGCCTCAGTGCGATCAAGGAGCTCACCCAAAGCGATAGTCCGAACCAGAGTCTACACCCGCCAGGAAAATCCCCAGTCGGCTTAAGCAAGTCTTTCCTGTCTTGTGGTCGTCACTCTCAGGTCGAAGGCCGTCATCTAGAACGCATTGACCATGGAAATGGAGTCTCTCGATGAGATGATGCTGTGCAGGTCGCTGAGAGGCATGGTTTCCTATATCTTGGAGAAAATTCTCTCGAAGGTCCTCCCAAGATTTATATTTTATCTAATACTCATAGCGTCAGTCATGATCATGCGTAAAGAAGCGCAGGCGACATACGATAGGTGCTTCAGATTTCTTTTTGATTGGGGCATACTGAGCTTTCCGGGAAGCCCTACCGGCCTCCTTGCAGCGATCACACTGACGAGTAGTGCAGTCAGGGGGGAGGACGCGGCGGCAGCGTGAGCATGAACTTGGCTGGACGATGTCGGCCATGGTGACGGCTTGTTGACTGCTGCTGAGAGAGGCAAGGAGTATGAATGAAGAAGAACAATTGACATGGCGAGAGTGCTTGATGAGACGGTGAAGGGTGACAGTGTACAGGACAACACACATCAGGATCTTTGTGCTATTGTGCATAACACGAAGAGAGGCACTGACAAGGCCCTGGTCATGGGTTGCAGACATCAAATTCTCCGGCACGCCTGCTTTTTACGATCGCGATGCACGCCTAAGCCGTACGTAATCGCAGACAATTTGTGGGTGGACCAACAAACGCCGTCATGCGACCCGAGATTCCAACAGCTGCATTTTGGCTGCATTCTTTTCGACACACTTCAACATACTTTCAAAGACACCTCCCTCCTGCAACCATGCGCCCCTCACAAATCCTCCTCGCTCCGCATTACAAACAATGATCAAGTTCCTCGGCCCAAGGAAGAACCTGCAACACCGTACGTCGTCTCGCTCCCCGTACTGTTTTCAAAGAACTGACTCGCCCCGACAGCTCCTCACGAACCATCTACTTACCCATGCGCTCCCTCAGACATCCGTGAATCCTTCCCTTCTTTCCTCTCCAAGCTCAACATTTCCGCCTCCTCGACGCCATCTACGCTCGCCTCGAAACAAGATACCGCCTTCAAGCCCGTGGACTTTGTGAATTTTTGGGAAGCGCCGCGGTATCTGTGAAGGACGAAGGAGCTCGGAGACCTGGAAATGGATGCAGTAATGGTAAGTCATCCTTGCTTTGGGTCTGCGACGTGGGTGGACGGGTGGGCGAGGAGGTTATAAGGGGAGAGAGTACCCGGGCGGCCATCGACCTCGAGGCGTCTTGGGAAGATAGAAGTGATATATCTATGCGAATGCGCAGACGTGCTGATTGTATATATAGAGTGTTGGTGCTACAAGTATCCAATATTCTCCCTGATTCCCTCCCTCCCTCCCCGCCAGCTCAGCCCCGTGTACCACCTCCAGACGACTTTGCCCTCTCGCCCCGTGTTCTACAGGTTGTAATCGCCATGCTCTTCTACAGGATCAGGATCAGAGCCGATAATGTGCTCGGAGGGAGTATTTGTGGGTGCAGAAGTAGGAGCATGAGCAGGGGCCGATGTCGAAGTTGAAGGCGAGTCGACAGGAGGGGGGAGACTTCATTTGCGTTGTGAGCGTGTGCGCCTCGCCATCATCCCATTGTCCCACCAACATACATTCTCTACAACGCGATTTAATCTGTCCTAGAAGGTATACATTTATTATCTACAATGCAAACAGACAATACAATAGTGCCCATACAAGCTCGACGACTCCCTGCTCATCTACAACTCAAAACATGCGTACACCCCCCCCCCCTACACTCAAATCACCAATCCCATCTCAATCCTGACAACAAAGTCAACAACACCAAAACATCAGCGCCCATCGCGCCTAGAGCTTACTTCCCTGATGGGTCTTCTTACCTGCAGTAAGATTCTCCCCATTGACTGGACTCGTACCGATATGGTGATCGGCGGCGCCTTGGGAGACGAGCGAGGCGGAGGAGGGGGAGTTCGGGAGAGGGCGAAGGGAGTTCGGGAGAGGGCGAAGACGCCATTGACGCCCGGCCATGGGCTCGAGCTACAATCCCGGTCAGCCACCTACAACCCCCGAAGCACGAGCAGCTCACCCGCCGCTTGATATCCCTCAACGTCCTCGTAACCAGCTTCCAATGCACCATCGCCTCTTTCAAATTCCTCAACTCTCCCGGGAACAAGTCCCTCACTTCCGGCGCATCCACCAGCGCCCTCATAATCCACGGCAGCCCAAAGTCGTTCCGGGCGTCTCGGGCGTTGAAGGGTTCGATCTGCAGAGGGGGGAGAGTTTGACAAGCGGGGGTGGCGTAGAAGAGGTAGTTGGCCTTGACGGCAAGGGAGAAGGAGGATAGTTCTTCGTAAGGTGTTGAATGGCCGAGTCCTATCGTAAGATCAGCCTTGTCCTCAACATGGATTTTGCAAGACTCACCGGTCAGACCTCCCGCCGTCGCTCGCTCAAATGCTCCACCAGACGCTCATCATCGATACCGGCATTCCTCAACATGAAGGCAAAACAAAGCAAGTTTGTTATGAAGTCGGATTGCGTATAAGATGCGCCGTCGACGTAGAGGGCTCGAAGCAGTAGAGGATGGGTCGCACAGCTGAAGGAAGCTCCATATATCGGCACCTACTTATCATCCCACCAAAGCTCAAACCGTACTCACAACCTGATCATTCAACGACGCCAACAACACCACTCTCACCCCACTCTCACACCATTGTCCAAAACCATCGCCAACGCCCTCTGATATGCCAAACTAACCGGCGCTGATTCAATCTCTCAATACAGGACTCACAACTAACTTCTTCCAACGAGATATGTATGTTGAACTAGTGCCCAAAAAGACGATTGCAGGGATGGTGTATGGCAAAAAGTACAAAAAAGAAATCTTCCTGACGGGGAATCGAACCCCGATCTCCCGCGTTGTTTACGATTACGTATTTGACAAGCGAGCATACTAAACCGTTATACGATCAAGAATTATGGATATGTGTGCAGCAACCTCGTACTTGAGGTGACGTATTGCTTGATCATCTTGCCAGGTCTTTGAATTTACGCCCCTTTATAGACTTTGGCACCATCCTAATAATAGGATCGAATGGCTTCCTGCAATGCATTTCATTATTGTCCCTTTCTTCTCCAATTTCTAGACACTGCTTTGATCAAACATGCGGCCCGTCCGCTCTGTAACATGTTTGTCTATGCGATGAGTGGATGTGTAATCCCCTACATCCTGGCATTATGATGATGCTACGGATATTCTTGCAGCATTCATGACCTCTGAGAGCTTGGAGCACAGTTCAATGGCTAATTGGTGGAACCAAACAACGAGGTGCGAGTGCGCCCTCCCGCACCTTAATGAGGCTGCATTTGTGTCTCTATCTTTCACCCCCCTTCATACAATCCATCCTCCAGCTCCAGGCTAGCATTATCAGGTTACTGAGCAGGCTAGTAAATAGGACATTCTGGCAAATGAAATTTCATACCATGTTGAACAACATCTTAAAGAGATTTCCGTTGGTGGTGCTATAGAGCAAGCAGCTATGAATGATCAAATCATAAAGTATGAACCACCAAGGAGAATGATGATATAAGGCTGTGTGCAGGTACACTGGGCTCAAAAATAGATACAAGTGTTCAAGCAACAAAAAAGTAAAAGGTAAAAACGACGGCACCCGGGATTCCCAGGTGGTCCCCCACCCTGGTACTAACCGAGCGCTCTCCTAGTTGACTTCGCGGATCAGACGGGACGCGGTACTTTGAGGAGGCTATGGCCGTCGATGTTGATGTAACGAGTACAATGATCCCTACATTTAGATGTCAACTCAACACTACATGGTTCCGGAACATACCACATCAAATCTTTAGCATACATACTATCAGGGCTCAACAGGTACTCCTGATCAGTCCAAGGCCGATGACGAAAAGCGTCCTCCCAATTTGCAGCAAAGAGTATGTAGCGTGGCGAGATCAACTCAATGGAGGAGCACTGCGATCATCAACAAGCATGTACGGTAACTGTATGTATGCCAGACACAAAACGGCGAGAACAGTGTACCATGATCTCCATGGTGCTCGTATAGGGGTAGTAGGGCAGGCTGGACAGCTCGCTGCCGTTGCGATAGGGTAGTGGGGACGTATTGATTATTCAAACACCCAGATTGGATGTCGATCCACGCAGCGTCAACCAAGTCTCTCACATTGCAAAAAGACATACATGCAGGTTTCCATGAGAATAATTGCATTGCAAAGAAAGGTTTCACAAAGGCCAATGCTGCTGCTGTATACTCTAAAGTACGGTACATGGCTGGTAAATGGACGATTAAGGACGGCACAGCCCAGGAGGCGGCGATGGCCGCTCGCGGAGATGCGAGATGCGAAGAATTCGCGTTGTTCGCGCCCGTTTTCACAAAAACAACAAAAACGCGAAACCCCCCTCAAACTCGGATTTCTACTAATGCATGCGACTTTTTGGCGCTGATCGAACGGTGCACACAGCCAGGCCCCGATACCGCCCCAAAATGCCAGCACATACCTTCGACGGCGCGCCTAACCACGAATCAAATTTGCGGAGGACGATCGAGACTTGGTAGGCGAACGCTGATGGCGACTGTCAAGCTCACGAGGCGGTAGGATGTTCGAGGAAAGGGAATCTTCTCTCTCCCTCCACCACCGCCTTCCCCTCCCCCTAATCTCAGGTCTTGTCCAGGTCAAGAGGACAGAAGGCATCTCAGCAACCGTCGCCCGGGATGTCTCCTGCCCCAGAGTCGAGCTCTCCGACGGGCTTTTCCTGGCTCGACCTATTCGACGATCTCCCTTCCCAATCACCTCATAACCCGCCTCCCACTCTCTCCCCGCTATCTGTCACCACCCCTTCCCCCTCGCGTACGCCTGCTGGCCAGGTGCACGCCGCTTTCCCCTCCACTCCAGCCAGCTCTGTCCCTGCTCTATCCTACAGCAATTCGCCTTGTTCCCCTGGAAGCATCATCCAAACTCCTCGGGCGTGCCATTCGCTTTTGGAGCCTATTGTGGTGGACCCAGATGAGAATCCCTTCGTCGCCTTCGAGTCTCATGGCGAACAAGACAGGCCGTCGGTGATTGCACGCCCCAAACGACCGCCCCCTCCCACCTTCCAGCTTCCCCAGGACTGGGTGACAGAAACTCCTACCCCCATTCGCTTTCACGCCGATACATTCGACATCCCTGAACGGCCCATCTTCCCTCCTCCCACTGTTCCCATCGCTCGGGCCGACGAGCCCGAACAAGTCAATGTCGGCCTGCGATGGCTGGCGCACATGCCCAACTCCGGCGGGCTCCTACCTTCTATAGCCCGCCTTCGAGAGTCAATGGAAGATGCGCCCAGGGTCTGGTCCAATATATCGGGCATCAGCACGTACATCAACAATCCCAAGCGGCGGGTCTGCTGTACCCCGACACAGTCCACGGCGCCGGCGCCGTCGGCTGATTGCTCGGCTTTTCAAAATGAGATGGATGAGTTGATGGAGGACTGGAGAGAGACAAGTATGGTGCATGGGGTCTATACCGTGAACCTTTTGAGTAGTGATCCGTAAGTGAAGCCTCAAAGTCTAGTCACTCGCTGATGGCAAATTCAGCGAGGTCCTCGAGAGGTCGAAAGTTAGTGTTATCGAGGAGATGAGACAAGCGCGCGACCTAGGATTTCGGGCCCTTATTATACAGTGAGTTAAACTTTGTCGTTTCTGACGGTCAGCTGACGGCCCTGGTAGCCTTGGATCCGAAGGCCAAGGAGTGAAATCTTCCTCCCATCGCCACCAAACCCTTTCGCGCCTCATTCCAACCCTTCAGCACATCATATCCTCCGTCCCTGACGTCACGCTCGCCCTCGAAAACACTTGCCACTCCTCCCCCTCTTCCCTCACCAACCTCGCCTCTATTGTAGAGATCTTGACTCATTTTCCACCGTCTCGGCTGAAGCTTTGTCTCGACCTCTCGCATTTGTACGTGAACGAGTTGGATTTGAATGAGGTGGAAGGGAGAAATGCGATGTGGGAGCTGTTGGATCGCGTTGGGTGGAAGAGAGTGGTAGGGGTGCACGTGAGCGACAATCACGTTGAGCATGGCGGGAAAGGTGACAGGCATGCGAAGTGAGTGTTGATTTTTATCTGTGAATTGTGCACTGACACTCGTGTAGTATCGGCTGGTGGGTTTGACTAGAGCGCTCCCACTCCCTCGTCTGATCTTCTATAGCGGCCACATCACTCCCTCGTCCCTTCGATCCATCCTCTCGCAACCGTTCTTCAAGACCGTCCCACTCCTCCTCGAGTCTCCCCCTTATTTCAAAAACTTCCCTATACCCTCCGAGTCCATCCGCCGCATGCCCCGATACGCCACCAAGATCATCTCTCTCGAGCACGAACGCTCTGCTCTCGAACGGGGCATCATCGAGTGCATGATTCATCTTTCCGATGACGAGTGGCACGGCAAGGGAGAGGTATGTTTATGGGCCACCTACAATGAGATGAGGAAGGCGGTGGAGAGGAAGATCTACAACATCGTGAAGAAACAAGGTGGAGGGATCTGGTTGTCATTCTCGAAGGGGAGGAGGAAAGTAGTCGAGCAGCTCAGAGCGACAGAGGGCGCAAAGCGAAAGAAGAAGAATAGGGCAAAACGATGAATTCCGATCGATGCGAGAAAGGCATGGATGGACGACAGTTGCATGCTCTCAAATCGCGGCCCAATGGTCTCCTACGAAGTCCAACAGGCACCGTTACGGAGGCGATCGCAAGACCGCAGCATCCCTTTGACTCGCTGACTGCTCAATATGAATACATATGTATTTTACTATCGTGATGTTAATATATGCAGATCACACAGAGCTTTGACCTTGCTATGCATCATATCAGACTAGCAGTGCACTGAATATAGATACATATGAGTCTTGACATCGCCCCAGGCCCCGAGCCAGCCCCCAGCTGGATCTGATCGACGACGTAGTACCGTGCAGCGTCGAATTCTCCGATAGTCCTTGTTCAGCCCGTTTTTTGCCAGCTCTCATAGGCTGACACTGACAGGCTTCAAGCTCTGTCGCCGTGTACACTGCCTGGGTGAGAAGGGACGATAGAGAGAGTGAAAAGATGACGGATCGGGACATTCGCATTGCTCGTTGGCCGTCGGGCATACATGCAAGCGGTGTCGGCCGCCCTGAGTGGTACGCTTGGACACTGGCTTTGGGGCCAATTTTTTCATCTCCATAGCGATATGCTCAATACACCCCTGCGTCCCCTGGAGAATAGCGCAGGTCCACGGTGGATGCCCCGAACGAGTCCCAAACGCCGCACGGTCCAGGATACATACCCCGGGAGCTGCCCGGGAGCAAACTGCCTCTCTGCTCAAGATTTACTCGACTGTCTTCTCCCCGCACACGAACACATCTTCCAGCCTCCATCATGGCCAAGCCGTACAACAGACCAGAAGATACGAAGAAATCACGGCAGTCTAGCGACAAGCAGGTTATCCCGGCAGACTCTGTCACTCTCTTATCCATGTAAGTCCAGACCGCACTTCTGGCACCAGTCTTAATGCTGAATCTTCTCAGCAATACTCCATTCGTTCTGCACAGCTTTCTCTTAACCATCCAAGCCGATCCGGAACTCCGCCGTGCCTTCTTTCCCATCCATATAGGTCTCCCAGCGCGCCCCAGATGGAAGTTAGCCCGGCAGGTCTACATTGAGGTTTACAGCACTCGCGAAAACGATCTAGAGGGGACCGTATTAGAACGTGCGGCCAACATAGGACTGTTGAAGCTTGGTGTGGATGCTGGGAACGACAATTATATTGCAAAGCCTACGTCGCGCTGGACTGCGAATGTGGAGATTCCAGGTGTGAAAGAGATTGAAGTGTGAGTTTCTCGTTTTCATCGATGACATGAGCTGACCGTAAGTGAAGCGCGAGGCAAGCTATGTTGGATACCAGCAAGAGATCCCAACATTTCCTTTGTCCGCTCTCTCAGGTCGGATTTCAAGAGCAATGGAAGGGTTGGGCTGATGTACCGCCATGCTATCGCCGTAAGTGTAACCCGTGCGTTATTCGAGCGAGCCAGCTGACCTTGCTTAGCTATGTTGAGGTTCTACTACCCGTACTACTTTACGCTTCGCAACCTCTGCGCACCCTACCCCATATCCCACCCTTCCCAATCGTCTCCAATCTCGACTCCCCCTGTCACACCTTTCCAGCCAAGCGACAATTCGAGTCCGATCCAGCCGTATATCGATCGCATTTTGATCATGAATGCCACGTATTCCCCTCCTTCACTCTTTGCAACTCATTTGAGTGCATCCCAGAGATCAATTAAGCGGAAGATGAGGTCCGATCGATCATCTGGAAAGGCCGACGTAGAAGGAGAGATCAGGCATGGGTTGTCCTATGAGCTTACCCGGAGGTCCGAAGATATGTCTTTACAAGACGTACCAGAGTCGAATATACCTCAAAATCGAGAAGAAGGCGATCGAGGGCAGGGAACGGGGAGTGTGGTGGCTATGAACGAAGACGGTATCGGATCTAAGGAAAAGGCAAAGAGGATTCAGAAGCGTATCATAGACATCTCGGAAAGGGAATGTAAGTTGGCTTCAATGATTCTAGACAAGCGATAGATGCTGACAAAAACCATAGCCCTCATCGGCACCGATCTCCCCATCAGCCCGCCTCCTTCTCCCCAGCTGCCATTCGGGTTCTTGTCATCCGGATCCAGCACCGCAGTCCGCTCCCAGCCCAGCTCTCACCTCTCGGAGTCGATCTCTAGCAGACACCCCACTGGCATGCCAAATGGCAGGCCGCGATGGAGAGTTTCCTCCCGATCTCCCACGCCAGAGAGACGGTCATACGCGGTCAAGGTCGGAAGAGGTGAGGATGTTGCTGGAGAAAAGCGTATCAAAGCCGTCGTGTACAACTCGCCTCACGCCCCTGCTGCCCTTCCCTCGGCGAGACCCGAAGAGTACCAATGTCCCCCAACGTATACCCCTCCTCTCAGCGCCAGACGAACCCCGTCGCTACCGTTGGCCTCTTCCGGACACTTGCCTCCTACCCATGGCATATGTCACGCTGTGACCGATCTGGCTACAAGCTCGTCGGGTCTTGTTGGTGATGAGGATCCCTTCCAAACACCTCCTTCCCTACCAGAGCTCAATCCTGTTCCGACTCCTTCCCAATCACCCCAACTAGTCGCCGCACAACCAGCCTCACCGCGTAAGCGAAAACGTCCATCGTGGGTCACCTGTACCCCTCCGAAACCCCGTCCCAAATCGAATTCTCTCCCTCGTTCTCCGTCCCCTTCCCCAGCATTGTCACCCGAGATAGACATAAAAATTGAGCCGGATGAGCTCATGCCAATCAAGGAACAGGTGGAGGATATGGCAAGACGAGAAGCAGCGAGATTGGCTCAGAGACAAACCAAGTTGACGGGAAAGAGAAGGGGGAGTGGCTGCTCACAGCGGGGAGATAGAACGAAACGTAAAAGTTGGGCTTGGTCAAGCAGATGAGCAGAAGGTCGGCGTTGATCAAGAACATGGAGATGGGCATCTTTTATACATCTCTATTGTACTTGTAGCGATATATATATGAACAGCATGGGACGTTCAGATTAGGCTGTTTCTCTCTGTATAGCACATATAGCATGTTAATAGTAGTCACTCTAAAGTATGGTAATATCGACATGAGCTGCTCCAAACGATGCATTGTGGTCGCGCATAACGCAAATTATGGTACTCTTACCGTACTCGTACAACACATACGACAGCGAACTTGAAGATTGATTTTGGGGGAGTAGCACCGCCGCCACATCGAGCTCACGATTGTGCTGGTCCTGAAGCATGCCAAAGGCAGTAGTGCCTATTGCGCTGACTGAGGAAGGAATCTAGGCTGGAGGCACAGAGTGCGCAAGGATCTGTGCATGCTCGGACGGTGAGCTGCGCGGTCTCGGGGATGTGCTTACTTGTGCGAGGTGGAAGATCATTCGAGAAATTCATTTGCTGTCATCTCTGCGCTTTACTTCCTGCCAGTCTGTCTTCGCACAGACCGTACTGGCCATTGCCTGTCTGAGTCTTTGCCTGCGTACGAGAAAAGTATGGGGAACAGTACAGCGGTATAATACTGACATCCGAGACCATACGAGTATAGGCACTTCGTCATCCAAGCGCGTCTTCGCTCGTCCCTTTGACAGTACGATATCGTACATACATACATACCATTAGGCACACCTCTTGGGCCTCTTCAGGGGTTGTGTACAAGGCTGAACTACCAGGTGTACCTGAGTATTATACCATCGCTATGTGAATGATTGGCATAGTACTCTGCAGCTGTAAATGTCGAGTTTAGGCGTTTAGTCGTCCCTTTACAATGTGGTTTAATCTCATGTACGTCCTTTTGTCGCCCATGGAAACGTAGGGCTTGTGCTCGTTGTCAGTGTGTTGAGCATCATAGCTCATCTGCGTATCGACGCGTTTGCCGACGCGTCCAGATCGGGCAATGTATCGCCAAGATCTGCGAAAATGAAATTTCAGAGACGCGACGCGACTCTCGCTGACTCTATAAAGACCACATCTTTTCGCATTCCACTGCCTCGCTCCTAAGCTCCCTATCCTTTTCATACTAGACACCATGACTCCCCCATTCGAAAAATCTCAGACTGCTGTTTTACCAGCCAGCAACACTTCTTCTGGTCGCTTGATCCCGACGTCAACCACCACCGAGAGTTCCAAGAGCCTTGCTGCTGAGTGAGTCATCCTTGTACCGAGAATCCTTGAGAATGAGCTGAGCTGTCCCTAGGCTGTCTCCAACTGTGATCGATCGAGCATTGACGCTGATCTACGACAACCAGCAGCTGGCGGAAGTCTTCTTCCCCGATTCGAGGAAGCGCCATGATCTCCCGGAATCTGCAAGTCTCAAGCTGAGTCAGCAGCTGTACATTGCAGTGTATAGGTCTGGAGGCAGCATCCGAGACAACGAGGCTCTGTGGCACGCCATCAGGCATGGTTATCTGCAGTCAAGCGAGGGGAAGTACCGGGCGACGGCCAAGTGGACGTTGCAGTTGCGTAATCCACTTACTGAGTGTATCCAGCAGTACGTATACCTTTCAAAATGTTGAGACTTGTAGAAGCTGACTGTTTCTGTAGATTGCGCCTTGAGATGCAACGTCATATTAACGCCTACAAAACAACCCCCTACCCTTCGCTCGTGACTGCAGGGATTCCGTTCAGCCATCAATGGACAGGGTGCGGAGACACTTGTCCCCCTGATCGCTGTGAGTTCACTCTATCATAATTTACAGGAGATTTGGAAGTAGATCTGACAGTCCTTATAGCTCTTCATGGATGTCGGTGCCCGTACACCATGACACTGATTGCTCTCTGCCAAGGGCGGATTTCTAAAAAGGCGACAGCAAAGTCATCCAACCTCTTGCATTTGTCTCTTTCCCAGAAGTCGCTGTTGTCTTCGACCTCCACAACTTCATCTTCGGCCATATCGAAATCGTCAATCAAGCCATCTTCACCCTCCTCTTCCCAACCTTCTTTTTCCCGCCCACCGTCCTCCTCCGTGGCGATTGAGCGACCGCCTGGGCCTCACCTCCCTTCTCCCGAGACCTATGCTCACTCTCGAAGGGGCTACAAGCCTAGGAAAATGAAAAGGAAGAGGGAGTCATCACCCCGGTCGCCTTTGCTGTCCTCGGCCGATCCTTCTACTTCCCTGTCCTTTTCCAACGCCTCCATCAAGACTCGGAAGATTGTAGCACAATCTGCACATGTGCAGACTGCTGGTCTTCCTCCCAAAATCGATCATAGCTCCGAAGCTGCCGACGGGCAACTGAAGAAGAAGAGGAAGAGGTCATCACCCCCATCAACGTCGTCTTTGTCTTCCCCTTCCGCTTTGTCGCCATCACTGCCCTCTCCCAACGTCGCCGGCATACTTGTGGAGGAAGGGGCGGAATCTTCTTTGGTGGTTCGACCATCCTGGGGACCGTCTTCATCCGCTTCTTCGCACCCAACCACTCTGCCTGCTCCCAACGCCGCGACCCTGCCTCTCTCTCGAGCAGCCGGCCAGCCGAAGAAGGCCAGGAAGAGGAAGAATCGCTCGAGAGACGACGACAACGTGCCCCCTCCCTCCAAGCTTCCCCGGCTTTCCGCCCCTTCCTCGGTTATAAAGCCGTCCTTTTTGCCCAATGTGGATGCCAATCCTATCGGAGTCAGAGCTGAAGCTGCGAAGTCTGGTTCTAAGACGAAGACGGAGAGGAAGCCTCGCCAAAAGAAGAGGGATAGGGAGAGGAAGCAAAGGCTAGCCGAATTGGGGGGCAACGGGGAAGCGACAAGCGGAGGAAAGGAAGAAGTTTGCGGCATCGATAGCGGAATTGGGCTGCCAGGCCTCTCAGCAATGAGCTTGACTGAGGTTGGAGAAAGTATACGTCAGCCAGGTACGTCAACTCTGTCCTTAATCTGACTTTGTTCTAACTTTGGGTGATAGTGATCGCAGTCGCCAATTCTTCCACCTCTCGTCCAACCATCAGCTCCTCTTCATCATCACTCCCATCGGGGAACGCGTCATTGGGAACTGCCTTCCTTCTCGATCCCCATTTGTCACAGCCAGCACCATTAGCCTCCCAGCTCCCACTTTGCGCTGGCGTCAATCCTCCATCCGACATGACCCATCTCACCGAAACCTCTTTGCTATCCCCTACCGTGCCCACAAAACAGGCAACTGAAATCTCGGCTGCTAGTGAGCGTTCCTCACTTGGGGAAGAGCAGGCTGAGGGGTGCGTCGAGCAGCGCGCTGAGGTTGAGCAAGAAGAGATTCTGCTCGTTGGGATCGTCGAGAACGAACAGCTCGAGGAGACCACATCAGTCTGTGTAGCCGGACATTCTGGAGCTTCCCCTCGCAACACAGCAACTGCCCAAGCCCGTCAAGAGATGGATCTTGGACCTGGCATTGTTGGAGGAAGCTCCTCTCGTTGGGAGATGTACTTGCCCTTTGTCAACTCTCGTTCTTCCGCCAGAGACACCACAGGCTCGCACATCCCTCCCTACATTGGCCAATCCACCGATCACTCCTCTGGGACCGATGGTACAGCCGTTCCCAATCCTCCCATCACTCGTCCGCCTGTCGCTGCTTCGGGTGTCGATTACGTCCCCCAGGAAGCTCCTCTTGAAGCGCCTTTACGAGTGGTAGAGCGATCTTCAAACTCCCCGCCAACGTCTCCTGTCCTCGGGCAGCCGGACGATCGTGGGACTGCCTACGGAGCTTTCTCATATGAGGCGCAGAATTTTGAGCCTGAAAGCACTCTTTTCTCTGGGGTTGTCAAGAGTGAGCCGATCGAGGAGATTACTCCAGCCTGGGAGCTCGAACTTTCTCGAGCCGTTTTTCTCCATGCGCCACTTTCCTCATCTGAGGCTCCGCAGAGACTGGCTTCGGGGACTCAGCGATCGAGAAGAGGTGCCAATGAGGCATTGGGTGTTATTGGTGATGGCACCATCCAATGGGAGATCTATCCGCCTGTCCTCTCGTCACCCCCATCCTCTCGCCCCCGACCGACTCGTCGCCAAAAGCACCCTCGTCCCCCCGCCAAGAGACGGCATCCAGTCCCCACTTCCTCTCTCCGCCGCTCCCCTCGGGCCCAGATTGACCGACCTTCGCGTTCTAGCCGATCTCGCCGCTCCCAACCTACACAAGACGAAGCTCTTTCTCACTCGTTGCGCCGCCCGTGCCCTCCCTCCCCAGTTATCGTCGAAGGCGAAGAACACTACGAGGTGGAGCGTATTGTCGACAGTCGGCGCCAGAGGCGGGATGAAGTTGAGTACAAGGTTGAATGGTCAGGCTACGAAGGGGCCGATCAATACAGTTGGCTACCCTTCGGTGAGGTGAAGCACCTGGAAGAAGCCCTGCACGCTTTCTTTGCCGCCAATCCCCATAAACCTGGGGCACCAGCAGAACCAGTCATCCTAGCCGAGCGCGCGCGTCGTGAAGAACGTTGTGAGGCGGCTACAGTTCTCGGAGAGAGGAGTGGTGGTTTGGTAGAGGGAGAAGGAAAGGACAGAGAGTGCTGGGATGATGAGGAGGAAGTGGAAGAAGGCGAGGACGGCAGGCAGGAGGCGCTGGAGACGGGGGGGCAGACTTGCTGGGAAGTGATGGTCAGAGATGAGACAGTCGGACAATCTGGTGGGGTTGACCAAGGTGGCCCAGCTCTGGCAGGACAGGGCCACGAGGGGAGGGTGGCGTCGTCTGGAAGAAGGTTTTCATGGCTTGTGGGATTTTTGGGATTTTTGGGCTTTTAATTGTAGCATTGGTCATGTTTGTTCGTCCGATAGAAACGTTTTGTATATTTCTGGTGTATATTAGTGACCCAATGCGGCCGTAATGTAGTACGGGGACGATGCAACACTCTCGTCATCTGGATCAACAGTAGTGGCAGAGAGGCGGGCAGGGCCGCCGCGACAGCCCGTCGCGTACTCGCGTTTCTTCTCGGTTTCTTCGGCGACTCTGACTGAATTGCAACTGCATCCATCTCAAACGAACGACATTTTGCGCCATGTCCGACAACAATGCAGGCATCGACACTTTCCCCTACAACACACACACCGCCCGCCAGCTCGCCCCCCCCAAATTCTCAAACGTCACAGAAATAAGAGGGCTTGTCAAGCTCGTACGGAGTATCGCCTGGTCCTGCGACGGCTCGCGAGCAGCGACAGCGGGCGAGTACAAGGATATACATGTCTGGGACAACACCGTAAGTGCCCACGCTCGTGCGCTATCCGATTGATGTCGCTAAGCCCTCTCACAGCTCCACATCAAGTCGGCAAAACCGCTCCCTGCCTCATCGAATCCCTCCCCACATTCAAATCATGTCACGTCCGTCTCTTGGTCGCCAACTGATCCGAACATCTTGCTGTCTGCCGACAAGACATTCTCGCATGGAAGCGTGATTGCCGTCTGGGATCTGACCTGTGAGTTGACCATGCATCCTGCTTCGACACGTCTTTCTCTGTGAGGCTTGTGACCAGGGGGTGTACTGATAATGTCACAGCCCCCTCCCAACCCATCGCGACCTTCAAAACTCCTGGGGACGTGATTAGCCTCTCGTGGCATCCATCTGGTCACCACTTTGCCGCTGTCTACCCCAAGGGCCTCCACGACGTCGTCGACTTCTATCGCTTCTCCCCTTCCTCCATCCCCTCCGCTTCATCGTCTCCCTCTCCTCCCGCCGGCAAATGGGAAAAAAGAACCGACATTGTCCTTGGCGGCTCCTCCCCCGGTATAGGCTCTGAAGAGATCAACTCTCTTCGTTTCAACAATTCCGGACAGCTCGTCTGTGCCGTCTCGAACGACGGCAGTATTGGCGCTTGGCTGTATCCCCTAGAGCTTTTGGAAGGCGAAAACATGGAGGCACCAGTGGAGCTGGAAAAGGTGGAATCGATAGCTGTGGAGGACACAATTGAGGATCAGGCAGGGACAGCTGGCGGAGCGGCGAGCGAGGCAGTTGTGGAGAAGGAGACCGATGTCGATATGGCGAATGGAGAAGAGACGGGAGAAGCTCCCTCCGCAACCTTCATCCCCGAAGAGACCGCCAAGGAGGGACCTCAAGAGGCCGAGGGCGTTGCAGCAGAGGCAGAGCCAGAGGAGCGTGTCGCAGGAGATGAGACAGCGAGCAAGGACGATGTCGAGATGACCGAAAACACACCCCACTCTTCAAAACAACCCACCCCCAGTCGCCCTCCCTCCCCTGCCGTACCACCTTCCGCCGACATACCAGAAACTGCCACACCCCCTGCTCCCATCCCCGCCCCCAAAGCTACCCATCTAACCCGGGTCGCACACACCACCCCTTACGCTGCGTCTCTTCTATCACTCTCATTCGACCCTCTCGGAAGATGGTTTGCGGTGGGAGGGCAAGATGCGTTGCTGAGTTTGATTGACACGAGGGATTGGATATGCGAGAAGAACTGGGACGTTTGCTCGTGAGTCGAGTCTTCTTAGACCGTGGTTCTCGCTAATGTCCGTGATAGATCTGCAATAAGACATACTGCATTCTCGTCTGACGGGGAGTTCATAGCAGTCGGAGGTGATGATCTCTTCATCTACATCGTGTGTCATCTATTTATTTTTTGTTTCGCCGCTGTTATGCTGATCCAATCGGTTTTAAGCTGTCCACCCATGCGTCGCAAGTCGTATCAAAGATCCCCATCCCCGCAACCCTCAACTGTCTTGTTTGGCACCCAACGAAGAACATTCTGGCGTGGTGTCATTCGGATAAGAAGGGTGCGCCTCTATGGTATGTCGTGCAACAGGAGGTCTGAGGTCTGAGGGGGCGATACGAGAACAGGAGGACGGCGGGGACACGGACTGGAATTTAGAGAGATAGACGGAATGCGAGAGCCACGTATGACCGTGCATGATGTCGGGGAGAAGAGCTTAGAGCGCATAGTCCTAGATTACGTACTACCTGTACAAGTAATAATAATTCCCATGTAAGCGCCACAAACCAACATACAACAGATGTCCCGCCGCCACCACGCCCTTCAAAGGGCTTTGATAATATCCTCGCCAAGGAGTTATCCTATTACAGCCATCTACTACATACCAGAATAAGCTACCTCCCTTTTTCAAACAGTGGACAATAATGCACATCTTGCAGCGGAGAGGTAAGATGCGAGTGACGCGGCGTATCTTCGGCATCGGCGGCCTCACTGACCAAGTCTGGGAGACCCAATCAAATACACCAGGAGGAATCAGTGTTGAATGAGTCCGGACTTGAAAAACTCGCTCTCGGCCATGGTCCTGGTGCAACGAATGGCATGGAAGGGCAGACGCACCTCGTGCTGCGCAAAAGGAAGGAGGTGCCGATCGGTTGCGCTGGTGGTTGAGCAAGCCAGCGAGGCCAGCGACCAGCGATGGCGTTCGGAAGGAGGACTGTGCGATCTCGCCAATGCGAGTTATTGATACGCTCATTCGCGTGGCCGTCCTTCTCCAATTGTTCAGCCACAGGTCCATACCACTACATACATGTATCAGGACGGGGGACCGAACTACCTTTTTTGAGATTGTATGCTGTTGTCTTACTACTTTGCCTCTCGGAGACCTTGATCAAATTTTCCTTGCGAGCCCTTCCGTCTCTTGTCTGTCGTTGTCATCGTGCCAGTATATGTCAGAGTGTAGTCATGTGATTGCCATGAGCCCTGAGCTCTTGTTCATTACAAAGCACGTCTCCATTCCTTTACGGGTGTTGTACCCCTGCGAACTCATGCGGCCTGCGGCGTTGCACGAGACAGGTAGCCCGAGCGAGCGTACATTTCCCCTGAGACGGGATGAACGGCACTTGAGCTATCACATCAATGCTGCCCGGTATAGTAATGATCGAGTTTAGCAGTATCCTTTGACCACAATATCTCCTTTGTGGGAGTTTTAGGCCCTCTTGTCGCCCATGTTGAGGAAGGGCTTGTGCTCGTTGTCAGAGTGCTCGGCGTCATAATAGCGTAGCTCTGTTTCGACGCGTTGAAGGACACGTCCGGATCGGGTAATGTATCGATAAGATCTGAGAGGTTTGCAAGACGCGACGCGACTCTCACTTGCTCACGATATATAAGTTACACCCTCTTTCAAATCTCACTTCCTGAATTCGAACACCACAATCCTTCCTCCTTGACGCGACACCATGGTACCGGTTCTCAAGAACTTCCCTACTGCCCATTCACCAGCAGATGGCAGGCTTTCTTCGGCCTATCGCCCATCACTCTTTCCTTACCGACAGCAAGGCCTCTTAACCAAGTGAGTCATGTCCCTACACACTTATCTCTTCGCATTTGTGCTGAAGTATCATCAGATTATCTCCTAATCTGATCAAGCGTACACTAATGAAGATTCATGACAGTCCTGAGCTTGCTCGACTGTTCTTCCCTCGAGCCAGAGAGAAGGTGAACGATCCGTCATATATCGACAAGAAGCGGCGATTGGGCCGCCTGCTCTTTATAGACATTTACAGCTCGAGCCATGACAAGACAGTCATTCGGCACGCAGCTGCCTATGGGCTTGTGAAAATGACGAAAAGGGGCTATGGTGCAACGAGGAGATGGGGGCGCGATGTGTGTAATCCACTACTGGAATGCATCGAGCAGTAAGTGACTTCTGATGATTAGGAGACCAATGGAGCTGATTATCCGCGTAGGGTACGCCACGAGATGATAGAGCACATCAAAAAGTATCTGGCCACCCCCAATCCTGATCTGGCTCCGTGGTTCCCTTTTAGCAACATATGGACAGGTTGCGACGGTACATGTCCTCCCGATCGCTGTAAGTTGGAACGCGCCACATGGTCTTGCCATAAGCATCTGACACCACGTCCTGATAGCTATTCACCGCTGCCCGTGTCCCTACGCAAAGACTCTTTTTGATTTGTGTAAAAACAAACTACCCTATCTCGCAAGGCGCAAAAGACAAAAAACTTCGCTACTATCGAGTTTTATCTGTCCCCTTCGTCCTCGTCCCGCTCCACCGACTTGTCCTCACCCCCAGCCCCCGCTTTCTCTACCACCCCTACCGGGTCTTCACCCGCCGCCACCGTCGCAGAGGCTATTGCGCAAGTCTTGGCCGATAACCAAACTTCACTTGAGAAACATTCCTCGAGCACCTCCACCCCTTCTTCCTTCACTCCATCCACCCCTTCAGAATCTCGACATGGTTTGAAATTGGGAGATATACAAATGAAGAGTAAGAAGAGGAAGCGAGGGCCGAAGGACGACGAAGCAGCGGGATCCATTCCTCCGCCTCTCCGCCCTTCAGCCACATCATCTTTGAGTGCCACCTCCTCTCATTCCCTCGGGCCTTCTTCTCGTCCAGAAACTGGAATTGACTCTCAAGTGAGAGAGATGAAGCAAGAGACGAAAAAGAGGAAGCGAGAGATCTTGAAGAGCCCTGCATTCGAGGATGGCGGCGACGTCGAGGAGAAGAGGGTTGGTGTTGAAGCCGGCACGGACGAGTTGCATGAACGGGGACTATTGCCAGGGTGTCAGCTTGCTCGAACAGGTGAAGGGCCGGACGTACGTCGTTGCACAGCTCAACAAGCTCCTTATCAGCCTTACTCAGCCTACCCTGCTTCGCCCTATCCCTGAACCTCTTGATATCCGCCACAGCATCTTGCAAGATCTCAATGATCAAATCATGCGGTACATTGTTCGCACACATGATGTTGATAAACTGCCGGTCAAGGAAGGCGACTTGGTACTTGGCGATTCATGCAGCTCTTCTACCTCACCCCTCTCGCCTGCCTCAGGTGCCCATGTCTCTACCCATGAGAGCCATGTTAATAGCACTTGGAGCTACTCGCCTTCCCAGTTTCGTCCGGTGAAGGGGCTATACTGATTGTCCCATGATTGTTGTTGTCAAGTTGTTGTCAATTCGTTGTTGTTGATGATGCTACTGCTGACGACGACATTGATTTACGTAACTGCGCTCATGGCGTCGCGTGCCTAAAGTCGACAGGCGTCCTGCGCGGGATCAAACCTGCGTTCGTCAGCGTCTGCACCAGCACAATCATTTCAGCACTTGCACTTGACATCCGACAATCTTGCTATGTTTCTCTCCGACAAGGACCAACCTGGTCCACCTGAGAACTACGGCTCATTCTTCGACATCGATACTGCCCTTCGGGGACAAGAGGAGACAGACGCCGTGTCCGCCCTCTTCTCGAACCGAAAGATTCTTCAAAACATGATCGCTTTCTTTGACTTGGCGGGCAAGAACGAACACACCGAAGCGGTCACAGTGAGGGCGCACATAGCTCTCCTCGAGCGATTGCTGGAATGGAACTATATCGTCAATGGCGATAAAATTGGAGAAGGGTTTAGTGAGCTTCACACTGCTGGTGGATCCCTTTCCCTCTACGATGCCAGGGTACGGGAAGATGATGGTTGGGACAGATCGTATCGGCAGACCACACACTTTTCTCGATTTGTCAATTGGTCAAGGAAAAATGCAAAGCTCCTCGACGAAGGCGCCGAAGGCAAGGTTGGAGCTCAAGCAGGGATTATCAAGCCAGATGGGGGTATTTCTGCTAGTGTTGTCTGCAAATTTGATGTGAGTTCAACTCCTATTAGTGCAAGGCCGCACTGACGTATGGCCCCAAGGGTATCGACATGCCTACCCTCGTCAACAGCAGCGAGCCTGTCATGGAGCCAAACGAGTCCTTGACGTCCTTTAGCCGCGTGTCAGCCGGTCTTCGTACCCAGTACAAGCTGGACAACAACCAGGTGCTCTATCACATCGTCTGCATTGTGATGGAAATAAAGCCCCCAATCATTCCCGAGATGCACCTTATCGGCCAGATTTCATGCTATGCTGGAGGCTTACATGATGTCTGTGGAACCAGCTATGGTTATGCAGGTCATGGTCCAAAGGTGTATCGCCTTCTGGTCTTGGACAATGCCATCGTCTTTGAAGGCCCCAGTGACGGAGTAGAGGTTTTTAAGAACTTCAACCTGCTGGCAGAAGGGTTGGAAGATGGCAGTGTCGAAGTTGGAAGGTCCCTCCTTCTCAAAGATACAGATAAAAAAGGCAAAAAAGGGCTGGACAAGGATTTGGTGAAAGACATTAGGAAGCTGTTTGTCGCTGCAATCAAGCAGCTCAAGGAAATTCGTTGCGATCACCAGCCTTTGAAGCGGCTTCCCAGCCCCGAGGGGCCGACATGGACAGCCTTGAGGGACAGGGTGAAGACTGCCACAATCGAAAATGCCGTGACTCAGCCCGAACCGCTCTTTGATGCGGCGTGTTTGTCGAAAAAGAAGGTGGCTAAACGCAAAGACAAGGGAAATCCCGCGTCTGCGGAGGATGCTGAAAGTGGGCCGAGGGCAGAGGACTCTGGGTTCGTGGCTCCTCCTCCAGAGGGAGCCGAGTCGACTGAAGTGATTGCGGACGCGCAGCCAGGGACCAACGTCAATCCCAAAAAGCCGAAACGAAACAAAAAAAAGAAGACCAAGCCGCAATCTGTGAACAACCCCCCTCCGAAAAACCGGTGCAATCGTTCGCGTTCCCCTGGCGGCGGTGGGCAGGGCCCCACAAAGCGCCGCTCCACAATAAACCAGGCCACTCCGGCCGGTCCGTCTGCTACAACCTCGAGTGCTACCAAGGAAGGCGGTCAGCGTGGGCGCGGGGCCAAGACCACGGATAGGACCGTTGGGCATAGGGTTGGCAACGTCAGGGAGAGCAATGGCAATACAACGGATGTTTTGAAAGGGCAAGACAGTTTCGAGAGCGCCTCTTCCCAAGGTGAATCCCTTGAGCTCAGGGAGCGCAGGCTAGGGTTCACTGTGCTGATGGTCTGTCTTAGAGGAAATCCAAGCGCCTCATGCATCAATCGTCATCAATCCCGAGATGACCGATACTTATGGCAATGATGATGTCGCAACTACAGGTGAGTACCCAATATCTCTCAGTACTAGTGACTAATATACATCTGCAATAGAATATGATCCCCTGACCGCTTTCAATCTTCAAAACATCGATTCCTACATGCCTGAATCAAACGCAAGCGAAAAAGTCCGATTACTCCATGAGTCGATGCTCATGGACCCTGTAATGAACGGTGGTCAAACACATCATAATGCCCTTCCTGAGCTTCGAAACATTGAGGAGGAAGTGCCGAAACAGACTGCAAGTGAGCCGTCGTGTTTGACTCCAATTGCTGAGGTCAAAGCTGATTGTTGTACCAGATGGCATCATGGAAGACGACATTATCGACGAGGAAGACAATGGCAGTCTCGACCGTGCGCCCTCAGCAGTATATGATGACCCCTTGGAAGAGTATTGGCTTGGTGATGATGAGAAACGCCGAGCGTTCAATGAAAAGATAAAATTAGTCGCCGCTCGTTCTGTTCTCAGGCAAGCAAATACTATCTTTGCCATTGCTAGCAAAGAGATCTTCAACAGGTGCCTTGACGAAGCCATCAAGTTTGTTCACTTGTATGTCCATGCTATCGGGCTCAGGCTGACTCAGTCGCGCAGTTGAGATGAAAGTATATGATCGACGCCCAGACGCCCAAAGAACACCAGCTTTGAGATTTGAGCTCGTCGCGACTTGTACTGTACTCGTACTGTTGGTGTATCAGCTGCCCGAATACGCTGTTAGCATCATGTAATATATTGACATTCCTTCCTAGTAGCATGTAACCTATGGACATTCCTTCACTCATAGATATCAGGCTTGTCTGATTGCAGCGTGGACGCGGTGTAGAAAGACCATGCGCGTGGGTTCGGCGTCGGCCTCAGGCGTCTTAAGTGCTTTCCTATGGTGTTGGGGTCTATGGCCGGGTCTGACCACAAATGCGACATCTCTAGGTTTAAGTATTGGTTACCGCTCGAAAAGCAGTAGCCAGCTTGTGAACATAATGGAAGCAAGTTTGCATGAATCGTTTTCATGGTCGTTATACGGATCCCTCCAAATGTCTGTACAAGTACCTCTGCACATCTGCCTACTTGCCCTCCCCCGCCCCTTCAGCACTGGTTCTCTTCGTAGGAGTCCCAGCAGCACTACCCCCGTCTTGCCTCTGTTTGCCAGCAAGTCCTGGAACTACCAAGTCTGTCAGCGTGGGACTTGCAAAGTTGTGCAACACTTCGTTAGGCATAGCAGGTGCCGGCGTCCCCGGCACAGCCTTCCCATCCTTCCTCCCCAACCTCGCAAACTTCTCCTTCAACTCTCCTTCCTTCGCATCATCTTCCTCCCCGATCCTACCTTCCATCTCCTGCAAGACCTTCTCTACACCGGGCAAGCTCAAACGCTCGGCAGCACCGCCCGTAGGCCCGACGGCGGCATTGTTGAATCCACCCGCGCGCCGGGGTCGGTAGCAGAGGGAACGTTGGAGGATGAGGTGGCGGAAGGGGCGTGGCGGAAAGATTGGCGGGGGTCTCGGTTGGGGTCTTTCATGAGGAGGTCGAGTGGGCGGGAGAGGAAGTTTTGGGAGGGCTCGGTGGCTGTTGTAAGGTTGGCAGGAGATTGCGGGGGAGGGGACGCGAAGGAGGGGAGAAGCGCCTGCCAGAACTCTTCGAGGGGTCCTCCATCATCCTCTTCAGGCTCTTGACCGGCAGACTGGGCAATATACCTGCTCAAGCTGACTTTCCAACTCTTCTCCACCAGTGCGGGGTCGAAACCATCTCTCCAAACATTGATCTTGCGCCAACTATCCCATCCGCGGGGTACCATGACAGCATTTCCGTCAAGCACGTTGGTTCGGTGGCTGAAGGGGAATTTGGTAGAGCCGACGATGGCGGATGCCGATACGGTGTTTGGGGAGGTTGGTAGCGGATTCAGTGGAGGGGTGACGGTATACAGTCTGTGGAGGAGATAGCTCTTCAGGAGAGCGTATGTCGTAGGCTATGAAGGGGCGCCATCTGAGTCGATGATCAGTATGATAATCAATGAAGATGGGATGAACATACAGGCCAAACAGACAGTTCTCAGTGCCTGCTGTGCTCGATCTGTCTTTTCTTCCCAGCCTCCACCATTCGCTTCCACATCCTCGGCAGCATTACCCATGCGATCGATCTTCGCGCAAACCACAACGATAGGAATTCCCGAGCTGTGATATCGTCAGTGTGCTTCGAACGCATGACGTTGGGGGAGGACGAACGCGTTGAAGTACCAGAGCCAAGTGGTAACAGAGGCCCGACAACAGCATACGTGGTCATACCAACAATGGCGGGTGACGGCTCGGTATAGTGCTGCAAGTGTGATTGCACTACTCCTTGTCAGTCTTCATGATTCTTTCGAGATGGGGTTGACTCACGTCGCTCATGCTCTTCTACCTCACCCCTCTCACCTGCCTCGGGTGCCCATGTCTCTACCCATGAGAGCCATGTTAAGTGGAAGTACTCCTGAGCTCGGGCCAGGGGCTGCCATGTTGGGGGACAGCAATACAGGGGTGGGTGGGAATGTCGGATGATATGAGAAGGAGGGCAAACAGTCAATACTTGCTGTAATGAGTTGGTGTTTGTGGTGAGGCCTTTGCAAAATGGAAGAGTAGAGAAGTGTAACAACAACAAAGACATGGATTTGCTGGGCCTAAGAAAGTAATCAACACACACCGTACCCAGGTGCTCACGGTTGCGGGACAGCGAACGATCCCCCCGCCTGCGTAGAGGAGCCTGCTTTGGCCATGGAAAAGTGGAGATTGGTGTGCGCCGTTGTATGAGAGGAGAGAAGCGATGGCGGATACGGGGATGGATGAGAACAGAAAGAGAACTTGAAGAGAACAAACAACAGGGATGTTGCAGGAAGAATGCAGGCAACAACAACACAACTACTGACGAAGTAATCGATTACTTCATGCGGCGTTGCTGGCAAACCTCGCGACGCAGTCGCGTGTAAAAAGGCGGCTATTGCCGTGTATAAGTGTCGGGGAAGGGTATTTTTTGGAGTCACGTGCCTTTGTTGTCGTCTCGGTATCTTTGCTTCTCGCTGTCCTCGGCAGTTCTTTTCGTCTACTCTCAGCCATCTACCACCCGCAATGTCCACAGATAATGACGACGACTGGGAGACCGTAAGTGCTCATCCGCCTCCCCTTCCTGCCCCGTCTCACATCCCTCACAGTCCGATATCGTCCCCAAAAAGATCCTTCGCCCCACCGCAACCACATTCAACCCCACCCCCCGCCCCCCGCCTCCTACATGGGGCCCGCCGCAAGTCCCAGCTGGACCCTCGTATTCATATCTCCCAGCCCAGCAGCAGCAGCGCGTCGCCGATGGTGAAGAGGACGATTGGTTTCGAGGCGATCGGCGGTCGCTGAATAACAGGCAAATATGGGACTCGGCGTGAGCTTTACCTCTACCACTACTGTTCTTGTCCTTGTAGTGCTGACGTGCTTGCCTCGCCAGCAATACAAAACCAAAAACCCCTTCCATACTCGCTCCCCAAATCCTCCCGCAGCCCCAAGTCCAGCTCCTCCGCCGCACTCTTTCCAATTCCTCCCCAAACTCATCCGGCACGTCGTCCCCCGCGGGCGAAAAGGTGAAGAGCTATGAAGAGAGACAGGAAGAGTATCGTCTGGCGAGAGAGAGGATATTCGGCGCGGAGGCGGAGGCTGTAGAGGGGTCGGGATCGAGTAAACCTGCCCCTCCCGCATCTTTGGCCCAGAGACAACGAAGCCAAGGGAATCAGCCTCGCCGACAAGATTCCCCCTCCCAAACACACCAGCCATCCCCCCAACAATTACCGTTCGCCGGCCTCGTCCCCACCCAAGTCCGCTCTTCCCCCTCCCCATCCTTATCACCGAGCGCGTCGCCTTACAACTCTCGCCCGCCGACAAGAACACATTCGAATCCGAGCGTTGCTGGCGGGGGCGTCATACCGAGTCAAGGTGGGGGGAGTGGGCTTGTGAGGCAGCCGATTGGACCGGGGCAGGGAGCTGGGTTCGGCGGAACGAGTGGGTTCGGCGGGTATGGAAGAGGGGCGTAGTGTCAGAGGCCAGATCTTGATATCTTAAAGATGTAACCATGTATCATATCCCAACCCCCCAACGCCCAGAACCAACTAAATGCATACACAGCGCTCTCAGCTCCTCCCATACCCAGCACTCCAAAACACGCCCGGCAGATCCCCAACGAAATCGCCCCACGGCCTCTCCACAACCCCCACCTCCCCTTCCTCTCCCAACCACCCGACCCCGAGGATCGACCTGAACCTGTCCGTCACTATATTGTAATAATCCTCCCTCCCCTCGCCCCCTAGATGCTGATGCTTCATCTCCTCCGACACGGAGACAGGCGTCGAGGGTACAGAGCCCAAAGGCGTAGGGGTGAGGGACGACAAATGCTCCCTCGCCTGCCGAGCCTCCCTCGCGCGCTTCTTCCGACTCGCCTTGCCCACCCCCGCCCCCACCGAGCCTGCCACCGTCGTCGTCGTAGAAACCGCCGGCGACCCCTCCACCCTCCTCCGCCTGACTAGACTCTCCACATCAAGCTTGATAGTTGCGAGGTAATCCGTGCCCCACGCGATGGCCTTGACGGCTTTCCCCTCCTTACCTTCGGGAGAGGTGGCGGATGTCCAGATAATCCCGTGGGCGGGGGTGTGCAAACTCTCAAAAGCGCCGAGGAACTTTTCGAGCTCGGGAGAAGGCGGCAGCAGGCGGCGGTGTTCGAGGTGGTAGAATGAGATATTGTTGGTCGGCGTGAGGATCGCGAGTAAAGGGGTGGATGGGGGGAATGACAGGGATGTCGGAGGGAAAGGCAGGGTAGGGAGGGTAGCGTACAACTGTTATATCAATGTTAGCTTTCATCATTACAAGACGATAGATAGAGAAGACTTGCCTGGAGAGTGTCGAGACTGAAAACACTGATCCGTCCCTTCAAATCCGCAACGCCCAACCACTGCCCATCCGCACTCGCCGCCAGACTCGATACCCACGCCTGCAGTTCCTCCTTCTGCTTCTTCTTTCCAACCACTTCCTCCTCCTCCTCCTCCTCCTCCTCCTCTTTCTCGTCATCCCCGTTCATCGAGACATCCCCATCCACATGCCCATTGACCGCCCCATTCACCTCTTCCCGTCCCTTAATAACCCTCCCATCCACAACCCTCTCTTTCCTCTCGAAACACTTGACGACGCCCACTTCCTTCCCCTTCCCCTTCACACCCGCATCGTCTCCGTCTGCCTGCGGCAGCTCGAGGACGAGCACTTGGCCGGATGATTGGAGGCCGAGGATGAACCGTTGAGAGTCGGGGGTGAACAGGAGGGAACTTGCGCCGCAGCCTTTTGATGGGATGGCGAGATGGGTGAGGAGGGGAGAAGAGGAGAGGGTGGGGAGGAAGGTGGATATGCGTTGTGGTTTGAGTGTTCCAGCGGACTATAGTCGGATTAGCAAACGCCCAAAGACCACGGACGGAGAGGAGAGGAGAGGAGGGGCGTACAGTAGATGCGAGGAAGAAGAGCTTGGTCTCGTACAGATCCGACACCGCGAGCCACTTTCCATCTTCCGAAATCGCAGACGAGATCAAATGCGTTCTCAACTACAACCCACCCTCATCAGCTTTCACCCTAAACTATCCGACAGGACTCACCCTCAACTCCATCTCCAAAACCTTCTCCCACCCACTCTCATCCTCCTGCACTCTCCAAATCCCCACACTCCTCTCCCGCCGCCCAACGACCAACCGCGCGCCTTTGCTGAGGGCTACGTACCCGCCCAAGGGTCCGCCGCTGAGATAGCCCATCCGGCGGGGGAAGGATTCTTCAAACGTGACTGCCTGCTTGCCCGATGTCGGTTTCGGCTTGCTCAACGCAGAGCGTAGGGGTGTGCCCGAGGGGGAAGGAGAAGAAGGGGAAGCTGCAGAAGTAAAAGTGGGCGTCATATCCAGACCGCCCGAGACGAGCACGGGGGCGTACCCCGGATTGACTGCCTGCGGCGCAAGAGGATGATGGTTGGCAATAGGGAGATACGCAGGAAAGACCGCGAGCGCCTTGACATCGTGCGCATGTACCCTCTTGCCGGCTACCATCACCCACTGCCCTTCCGCCGACAAGACAAACTGACAGATGCGCTGGTCCGGGCCAGAGGTAAAGATGGATTCGCCGCGGGGGCCGATGGTGAGCGCCATAATGTCGGCTTTGTGGGCGCGGAAAGTTTGTTTTTGGGCGAGGGTGATGGGGTCCCAGAAGGTGATGCTGCCGAGAGAGTCGGTCGTGACGACAGAATTGTCACTAGACGACCATCAGCTGGGCTCAACAGAGATAAAAGAAAGACTCACGGTAGCACACCAACATTCCAGACGATAGTCGCTTTCTGCCCACCAGCGCCGCCAACAGCCTTTTTCCCTCCCCTCCCGCTCTTCTGCAGCTTCTCAACCACCGCCCTCCCCTTCAACAGAACCCGGCTCGGCCCAATCCTCGACCCATCATTCGGCGGGGGAATCTCCCACCTCCTCCACGAGCTGTCCGAATTCCCAGTGACCAACCCCGTATTCCTCCACTCCCACTCATCATCCTGCTCCCTCCCCACCCTCACCAGCGCTGGCGGCGCAAAGGCGATCGAGACCGTCCGCGTCCTGGACGGAAGCGCGTCGGAGCGGAGAAGGTGCGAGGGCGGGGGCGCGAGAGCGGGGGACGGGTCCAACATGGAAGCGGGGGGTATCGACAGAAAGTGCAGGTTTGGCGAGGTCGTGGCCATGACGAGCAGATCCTGTGTCGGGGCGACTGCCAAACTCCAGAGCGGCGCTTGGGGGATCTGGTGCGTCTGCAGAACCCGGCCGGAATCGAGACACCGCTCAACCAAGTCGGAAGAGTCGGATCCGGCGGTAAAAAGACGAAGGTCGGGTATTTGGGGGACAGAGTATGGCTTGGATTCGAATGAAGAAGGAGAGCGGAGGACGAGGGCGATCTGGGAGATGGTGGGGTGGGTCAAAGTCGGGGGAAGGGTCTAACAAGTCGTCAGTCATGTCCCACAACTTGGGCCACACACACTTTTTGCAGCACCCAGTTACTCGACATACTCCTCTCCTCGTCCCGCACATACTCCCAGATCTCGACCTCGCCATTCTCCCTCGCCAGGACGAGGGCGCCAAACTGTTCGTGGGGTTGGGGGTGGGCGGGGAGACTCGCGGGGTTGGCTGGCGGGGGGAGGGGCCGGGGGGGGAAGGCGAGGGCGGCGATGGGGGAGGGGCTGTGGTCGTAGAACCGGATCCGGTGGAGCGGCACTGTCGCCATTTTTGTCGTTTGGTGTACAAGAGACCCCTTCGAAATAGCAAAGTCGTCAAAATTACATGTGGAGGCACCGAGTTACGTAAGTCGACCTCCACTCTTCTTTGACATGCATCGCAGACACCACTCTATACCATATCTGCAGCATATCTGAGCATGCAGCCGCAAGAGTACCCCCGCACCACGCCCCCCTCGACCCTCATCGTCATCCTCGACATCCATCCCGTATCATGGTCCCTCCTCACCACCCTCCCCCCCGCCCCTCCGTCCGACATCCGCGCCATCGACCTCGCAAAATCATCCCCCACCCCCCTCTCCTCCTTCCTCACCACCTTCATGGTCTATCTCAACGCCCACCTCGCCATGCGCTGGGGCAACCGCGTCGTCGTATACGCCGCCAGCGCGGGACGGGCAAAGTTGATCTATCCCTCTACCGCTTTAGCTCTAGGAGGGGGGGAACCGTCAAAGGCTAGGGCGAATGTGTATAGACCGTTCCAGGTGCTGGATGGGCGGATAGAAGAGGGCATTAGGGAGATGGTGGAGGAGGAGAGTCGGCGGCTGAGGCAGGATGATTTGGGGTTTATGAATGAGCCGTCGGCGATCGTTTCTGCTTTGACAAAGGCGCTTTGTTGCGAGTCCCCTCCTCCCTCTCTAGTTCTTGTGCTGATACTATTGTATAGTCATCACAAAGCAGGATACTGTTACCAGCCAGATACCCACCGATCCCACAACAACAGCCGAACCATCATCGGGCGCTCCCGCCACGAACGAAACCCGTATCCTCGTCATCAACGCCACCCCCGGATCGGCAGTCGGCTCTCAAACCGATTCTGTCAATGGGGACGATACCAATGGTGATGGGGCTAGTGGGAATGCGCCCAGAGGGGGAGGACAGATGCGAGGCGGGTACGTCGGGTTGATGAACTGTGTCTTTGCCGCGCAAAAAGCCGTACGTCCGCCCTCTTGCCGTGCCATCTCCGAGCTGATAGGTGGGCTGCAGAAAGTCCCCATCGATGTATTCTCCCTTCCCCCACCGACGATAGACCCGACACCGCCGATCTTCTTGCAGCAAGCAGCGCATCTGACGGAAGGCGTCTACTGGCAGTGGAACGGGCGCGGAGGATTACTACAGTATCTACACGTACGCGACCCTATTTCGCGCAAGTCCTAGAGCTGACAATGATTGCAGAATATATACCTCACACCCCCATCGCTTCGCCGTACCCCCTTCGCCGTACCTCCCCAAGACGCCGTCGGCTTCCGCGCAGTCTGTTTCTGCCACCACAACACCCTCGACGTCGGTTTCGTCTGCAGCGTCTGTCTCAGCAGCAAGTCCATCCCCCCCTCCCCTTTTACGATCATCAGTTAACACTTGCATTAGTCTTTTGCGAGCCCCGGCCTGTCTGCTTGATGTGCAAAACCCGTTTCCCGATCAAATCACTACCCACCCTCCGCGCCTACGCTTCCTTGATCAACACGATCCCTATACCCGACACTATCGTAGCCCCTCCCGAACCCAAGAACGTAGACAAGGGGCAGATTCGCGCGCCAGAGAGACTAGCGAACCGCGGAGGAGGCGCCAGCGATGATGCGATAGTGATAGATTGAGTAGCTTATGTAATGATGGTGTGGTGTGTTTCGGAGATGGCCGGTGTCTGATAGGAGGGATCGGCTCTGGATCGGCTTCGGCAGGCCGGGGAGGTGGCAAACACGACACGTTGGCGGGATCCTTTCGGGGCGGATGTGTACGCCGTCCAATCTACTCGCTCATCCCGTCGACTCGCCGCGCCTTCCCCCCTCTCTGCTTCTGCTTGCCCCCCCATTGCCCCACTCCATTCACGACGGAAGAGCCCGAGCCAGCCTTCATCCGTTTGACCGTCACATCCGGCATCACCGGTCATTTTCCCAGACTCGTATCTCGCCCCCCCGCGCGGCGTATATAAAGCCCCCATCTACCCGTCTCTGTCTACTTGTTTTTCTTCCTTCCTCCTCCCGTTCTACCATCAGACTATCAGACTATCATGGCTGAACTAAACCAAGTCCTCGAGCTTCTCCAGCAACTTGCAGCAAAGCAAGATGCTCTCGCCGAAGAGGTACGCATCGCTTATCTCCCATCCCCTCATCCTCATCCCACCTAACACCCTTCCTTAGCTCAAACAACAACAACAACAACAACACACCTGTACATGCGGCAACCACTCCCACTCCTCCGCCGCGTCGGAACAAGGCGTGACCCACTACCCCAACGCTACCCCCCCTCACTCCCCCATCGCGCCCACAAGTACAGGCGGTATCGACGCCCTCCGCGCGTCCCGCAAGGACTCCATGTCCTCTCTCAACGGGCTATCGACTTCGCCTCTGACTACTGCTCGAAACTTTCTCACCGGCTTGACCAGCACGGAAGGCGTGCACGGTAATGGGGATGGCAACGGGGATGGCGATGGGGCCGTCACGCCCGCGACGCCGTATGCAAACTTGAGCTTGGCCGCTGCTGCCCGCGGGGCGGGTGCGCCTGGGGGTCTCTTACCGCCGCCCGAGAAGAATGAGAAGGATGAGAAGAAAGGGAAGGGACTGTATCCCAGTCGTGTGATCCTTACCAGTACGTCGTCCGCATACTCCTTTCATGAAAGATGTTTTGGGGGAAGGCGAGACAAGAAACGTGCGCTGATAAAGATTGGCGATAGCCTACCCGAGTCAGCATGGTATCAACCCTACCCCACTCAAGTGGGGCGCTGGTCGTGAGTCTACCTCCCTTTCCCCCCCTCCCCCCCCCCCCCCCTTGTGGTCATGCTAAATACTTTGTAATAAAGCTACTGCGCGAGAACGAGGCCCCGTCGTATGTTCCCGTATCAAGTCCAACCTCCTCATCCGGAACGCTATCGGCGCCCACGCCGGTTCGTACTCTATCTACCGCGCGCTGTCTATCGGTATGGGCCAGCTCCGACCCGATTGGAGGCCCGACTTGACCAATACCCACGTACGTCTCTTTTCTTTTCATTTATTGCACCTGCAAAGCGGGGGTCAAGGGCTGATGGGGTCGGATAAGCCGCCGTTTGTGCTTCCTCCGACGCAGGGGTGGTTTGGGAACAAGATTGTTTCGTTTGATCCTTGGGGTGCAATGTCGCAGGAGATCTGGGCCAAGGTACGTGTCCTCCCCCCCACCTCCTCTTACATACTTTTGCCAACACACCCGTACTTTAGGAATATGCCGAAGGTCTCGACGTCCGCCCCACCATCTCCCAAACCAAAGCCCACATCAAGATCCAAGAACTCGACGAGCTCTTCAAGAAGGGCGATTTCCCCTGCGACGGCGATATCGTCATCAAATCCCCCGAGCTCCCCGCCTTCCCCGGCGTCGACCAAGGTATCGAAGTCAACACTTACAAAGCCGCCATCGACCCCGTCTGGCACCTCCCCGGCGTCGCCGACCGCCTCGGTATCGCCGAATCCACCCTCCGCCGCGCCCTGTTCGAAGACACTGGCGGCATGTACCCCGAACTCCTCACTCGCCCCGATATCAAAACGTTCCTCCCCCCCATCGGCGGTATGACAGTCTACATCATGGGCGATCCTGCAAAGCTGCAAGATCCAGAGACCGAGGTCACGTGTCGGCCGCATGATTCGTGTGCGGGGAGTGATGTGTTTGGGTCGGATATTTGCACGTGCAGGCCTTATTTGATCTTTGGGATTGCGGAGGCTTTGAAATGTGCGCAGAGGGGTGGTGTGGGAGTCATCATCTACTTTCAAGTAAGGTCTTTCCCCTCTACACCTTGGTGTTCTTGCTGACGATTGGGAAAACAGAAAGAAGGCCGTGCCCTCGGCGAAGTCGTCAAATACATGGTCTACAACCGCCGCAAGCGTGGCGGCGACTCTGCCGCCGAATACTTTAACAACACCGAAGTCGTCGCCGGTGTCAAGGACGCCCGGCACCAAGCCCTCATGCCCGACGTCCTTCATTTCCTCGGTATCAAGCATATCCACAACCTGATCTCGATGAGCAACATGAAGTATGATGCGATCATCGGGAGCGGGATCACGGTTGGGAATAGGTATGAGATTCCGGAAGAGTTGATACCGGCGGATGGAAAGGTCGAGATTGATGCCAAGGTATGTGTCTTGTTCATTCGCCGGGGGGTTATGTGCAGTCGCTGATGGTGGGATAGATCCAATCGGGATACTTTTCCAAGAAGCAAGTCACGGACGATCTCGTCAAAGAGACGAAAGGTCGTAACTGGGGTATGTCTACGACTATCATTCATCTCATTCTGCCTACTGACGAGATTCGCAGAGGACATTGTGCACTAGTCTCTCCCATCCTTCTCGCTCCTATCCCATAGCATTCTCTTACATATCGTTGTCTGTCTTGCTCTCTGCATGACAGTCTCTATGCACCGTTGTATATATCTCCGACATTAGTATAATCATGTTGCATGGCGTGGAAGCGTTAATCGGTATACACAAATGCCGGGTATCGTCTCCCCCTCCCCTCTCAGACCCTCCCAAGCGCGTCCCCCAACCCCCTCACCTCCCCCACATCCTCCCCTCTCAGTCCCCCATCACTCTGCCTACACCCAAGCGGGCAGACGACCATCTCTTTCCAATTCGCCCAGAGGTCGTCGATCGCGGTGAGGGGCGCGGGGTGGTCGATGGTGAGGAGGTAGAGGGCGTCGTAGCCGCCAGCTTTTGATGATTGTCAGCGAATGACATGGTTGTACAGATTGAAGAGAAGGAGAGGGGGAAGAAAAGTGGATAGAGGCAAGACGAGGAAGATGGATCAAGACATCTCGAAAAAGAGGAAAGAAGGACTCACCTCCCGGGACACCGCCTCCCAAAACACCCCCCACATCCCCACAAGCATCCAGCAACCTGCTCTGCTCTTCCGGCTCGATCCCCACCCCCGACTTGTCCGACATCTCCCGCAGCAGCGCTCGGATGTTGAGGAGCGATTCGGCGAGGGTTTTGAGGAGCGTCATGGTGGGGGAGGGGGAAGGTGCGGAAGAGAGCTAGAGTGTGTGTCGGTCATGAAGGGGACAATGAAGAGAGAGGGGAGGGCTGACGTACATCTGCAAGAGTCCAGGCGTGAGCCTTACCTAAAACCTCCTCATACTCTCCCTCTCCCTCCCTCTCAACCAACGCCATCAAAACCTCCCTCAGCCCATTATTCGCCCCATCCAGCCTGCCCCACACATCCTCCGCTTCCTCCGGCTTCTCCTTCCGCCACTTCAACACCTGCCCCACGAAAGAGGGGGTATCTGTCCCGGCATCGACGTCGGCGAGTACGAGCCGGAGTCCTTTCGGGAGTCGGAATGGCTTGACTTTGGAGTCCCACTTGCCGGGGTCGAGGTGCTCGAGCAGAGGCGAAGGGGCGGAGAAAGGGGCAAGGTCCATAAGCGGCGCCAGCACCTCGGGCGAAAACCTCGTATAGACATGCGACCCATAAACTGCACTCGAAACATCAAACCCACTCCCCACCTTGCCCTGTGCCAAACAATGCGCCAACTGGCTAACGGAATGCACCGCATCCTTCCCTTGGTCGTCGATCTCGCCGTGGGGGGATTGGGGGACGATGGCGAGGTGGACGAGGAGGGAGGCGGTGAGGGAGGTGGTTAGGGCGGCGGAGGAGCCGAGACCTGTTTTGTTTGTTTGGGGAATTGGGCGGGGGAGGGGGGTAAAGGGGGGGAGGGAGGGTAGGGATGAGAGACGAGCTGGGAGGGAGAGAGATGCGAGCTAGCTATGCCATCAGCGGCGTACAAAACAAGAGGGCGAAGCACGTACCTGCTCGCGTTGCGAGTAAAAGTCATTGTCCGCAAAGACTACTACCTCCAGTCCGCCTCCTATCCGTCTCAAGAGCTCTTCCACTGCCTTCTCCTCATCCTTTGTCGAAAGTAGAATACTCTCATAAGCGTACTCGAGCACTTTGGTGACCGCGATACCGATAAACTTGTTCCTCCCGACCTCCGCTTCGTTTGTCTGCGACAAGGTCAAAGCGGGTTCGTGGGGAGATGAACGCAGTGACAGTTTGTAGTTCCACGTAGACTGTTCTTTGGGGAATTGACCAGCGCGGACCGAGATGGTGGCGTTTTGGGCGTCCGAGGGGAGGGATGTGACGGACGAGTAGAAGCGGCTGGAGGTAGCGAGGACGAGGCCCGAGTAGGCGCGGTCGAGGACGAGGTAGCCGCCGGCGACGAGGACCTTGCCGGGGGAGGAGACGACGGTGGTGGACATGGGGTGTTTCGAATGGAATGGAATGAAAGAGGAGAGTCGCGATGGGACGGGATGCTGACGGTCACGTGGTCGCCACGTGGGGTGTTCTTATCAGCTCCATCGCTTCTCGCCGTACCGAGATGGTTGTATCAGCTAGTATTCTTTATTTGTTTCTCAAGTCTCAACTAGTATTCTCTATTTCTTTCTCTCTTTGTTCTCTCTTCTCCCATGTCCCCGCCCCAGCGCGAGAGCGTCCCCATCCCCCCCAATGCCCAGCGGGAACACAAGAAGAACCGCAGCGGTGTACTCCAGAGCTCCCTCGAACTCGTATTCAGCAGCTGTAAGAGCTTCCGCCTCCTCCAAGCGACAACCGCTAACATCTCACAGACTCAAGGTCCCAACAACTACGCTATGGCGCTTCCCTAAGCGCCCCATCATTCCTCGACGACAACTCTTTCCAAGATGACCAAGACCTCGACGACGGCCAAGACAGTTCCGTAGAGCGACACGTCTCGAGCAACTGGGACGACATTGAAGCTCGTGCTGGGGACGGTACTAGACGGCTAGGCGGCGATGCATGGGTGCAGGAAGTGGCAGAGGACGACGAAGACGACCCCAACGGCTCAAACATCTCGCGCAGAGTATCCTACGAACCGTCCATCTTCCACGCCGACGGCATGCCCCTCTCCACTGCCCGACCAGAACCTCCCAGTATGCCCATCCCCCCGGCATCCCAGAACAAAGGCCTCATATCCGTCGGCATGTTCTCCCCCCGGCCTTCCCTCCCCTCTCTTCCCGGCTCGTATACGACCTCTTCATCGGTTACTCAGACTCCGCATGTCAGGGGGAAGGTGCTGAGCAACAAGACGCAAAGCTCGGGTGGTACTAGTGGTTTCACGGAGCGATCATCGGGAGGTGTTGCATCTGCTGGTACGGAAGAGACGACGGCTTTACTTGGTGACGGTCAGGCTCAGGTGTACGACTCGGTGGACGGCGGTGGACGGGCTCGAGCGAGAATCAAAGTACGGGTTCCAGCAGGACAGAGTACGGAGGGTCAAACCGTATGTTTGCCTTATCTCTGCTATCAGGTCTGACACATATACAGCTGTTCAACGCCACCGCAGTCCTCGTCGGTATCGGCCTCTTGTCTCTCCCACTTGCCTTTGCCTATGCCGGGTGGATATGCGGAAGTCTCATGCTGTTTGGTTTTGGCTGGCTTACTTGCTATACGTGAGTCTCCATCTCCACATGTTTGTTCCGCTGACAGGTCATGCAGTGCCAAACTTCTTTCTCGAATCATACGCGCGGATATGAGGTTGACTGGCTATACCGATATAGGTAAGAAAGCTTTCGGCAGGTCGGCTGGCATCGCTATCAACTTTCTGTACGTATCCATACATCATCGAGACCAATATTGACGATTCACAGGTTCTGCCTCGAGCTATTCGCCCTCGGCGTCGCCCTCGTCGTCCTCTTCGGCGATACCCTCAACGTCCTCTTTCCCCACATCCCAGCAAACACCTGGAAACTCATCGGCTTCTTCATGTACGCCCCCTCTCTCTATCTTTCTTCGCCAGACTGACACCGTACCAGCGTCGCACCCACCGCCCTCCTCCCCCTACACATCCTCTCCCTCCCCTCCCTCCTCTCCTCCCTCTCCTCCCTCCTCCTCATCCTCGTCCTCCTCATCGACGGCCTCCTCTCCCCCTCCTCCCCCGGCTCCCTCCTCCACCCCATGCCCACAAGCTTCACCCCAGAGCTGACGGGGGGGAATTGGTTAGGCGGTGTGGGGCTGGTTTTGGCGGGCTTTGGGGGACATGCGGTGATGCCTAGTTTGGCGAGGGATATGCGGAGGCCCGAGATGTTTGAGAGGGTTGTTGATAAGGCTTTTGTGAGTCCCTCTGCTTCCTTCTTCATCTTTCACGAAAGGGATGCTGACGACGGTGTAGGCGATAGCCACAGGCATCTCTTTCATAGCCGGCGCTTCAGGGTACCTCATGATCGGATCCACCGTCTCCGACGAAGTAAGCCCCTTCTCGCCCCCCGGTGATATTCATCAACGCTGACGTTTGGGGAAAGATTACAAAAGATCTGATGCAAGAAAAGTATCATTACCCACGCATACTCAACATTGTCGCTTTGTGGATGATTGTCATCAACCCGCTTACCAAGTTTGGGCTTTCTTCTCGACCCGTACGTCCCCCTTTCCACATCCCCATCCTCTTTTTTTGGTAGTTCTGCGACGGGGGGTGGAAAGCTGATCAGTGATTGAAGTTGAATATCACTCTTGAAACGATCCTTGGCATCTCTCCTTCCCCGCCCATTGACGCAAGAGAATCGGGGTTCGACTCTTCCCTCTCTTCTCAGACACCCCGCAATGGCGCGGCCTACCACGAGAACGAGCACGACCAATATCACTCCAAACCCTCCCCACCCTTCCGCTCCCCATCCCCATCCCCTCTCCACCGCCCCTCCTCTCCCTCCCACCCCTCCCACAACCTCAACCCCCCATCGCTCCCATCCCCCTCCCAAATCGCCCTCCACGAATCAACCGAAAACCGCAAAGCCACATACCGCGCCATCTCCCGGATTGTGGTCACGGCAGTGTGCGTTGGTACGGCGGTGGTGTTGCCGGGGTTTGGGAGGGTGATGGCGTTCTTGGGGAGTTTTTCGGCTTTTGTTATTTGTATCATCTTACCCGTACGTCCCTCCCTTTCTCCTTCCCCTTCCCCCCCCCACCCCCCCCCCCCCCCCCTCCTTATGATCCCCATCTCAATCCAGACCTGACACTTTCAACCCAAGCTCCTATTCCACCTCCGCCTAGCCCCAACCCTCTTCCCACCCTCCTCCGCCTCCGCAGCGGGCCGTGCTCGAACCATCGCCCTCGGTCAGTGGGTCCTAGTAGCGGGCAGTGTGGTGTTGATGGTTGGTGGGACGGTGTGGGCTTTTTTGCCGGGGAGTGGGCATGGGGAGTTGGATCCTTGAACTTGTCTTTTGCTTGTTTTATTGCGATATGCTAGATACGAGATCGTTGTATGACCTTTGCTTTTTGGAATTTCATTAAACGTAGTTGTATATACTGAAAGATGGCATGGAATCATGACCCAAGACGTTCTTACATTGAACCTGCATTTGTACGAGTATGAAAAGAACAAGTAGCCTGACATCTCGATGCCTACAAAAGGGCGACAAACTTGCTTTCAAGAATAAACTCAAACATCGCCGATAAGCAGACCAGATACCATGCCTACATCTAACTCATTCCTCAATGTGATCACCAATGACTAGATTCTGCCAGAGAGAAACGTATTTATGCATTGGCAAATAAAATAGCCCGGAGATCGCTTCTCCAGTTTAGATTGATGAAATCGGAGGCTGCCACATCTACGGCACGATCGCTTTTGACTTTTCGTGACTCCCACGACAGATAGCCTAGGGACTCAAGCTTGGGTCTTTAGTGTAGAGCGCCTGATAGACAGCCAAAGCCCAAGTATCACTGAGACGCCTGATTCTTTTATTCAAACCTTCCTCCAAGAAAGTCCTGTCTACCATTTTGTCCAAAGAGCGCCTCCCCAAAATCTTGTCATTCCCATGCAAAGCCATAATGAACATCTCCCATTCCTTTTCTCTCGCCATGAACGTTATCTGGGAACGCAAACATGTTGTGATATGTCTGCGAAGAAAGGATTGCGGAGACGCCGGATGTCCACGCTGGAGTGTTCCATAACTGTTTCCATATGTCTGCTTCTTCTTTATCTGTGAAAATTATAAAACCTTACAACAAGATATTCGTACAGGCTCTCGTCGCACCCATACTTGTCCATCAACGTGCAGAGCTCTCTGCAGTCCTCGCAAGAAATTCTCAGGCCTGATCCGTATGCTCCCCCAAAAGAGACGAGGTTCAACCAAGGTTGGAGAGCTTTCGAATCGCACTCGGGAAAGATGATGATAACATCCGTATGCGTGGAGATGTCTTCTTGCTCGTTGAGCGATAGCCCGTTGAGTTTATCGAGGATGCTTTGGCCGGAAACGGGATCTCCGATATCTTTGCCGGAAGGCTGCGGGATGTCGCCCAGATCTCGGAAAAATGAGCTATCGAATAGGTCAGCCTCGCACAGCGCCCTGCCCTCATGATCTCGATAGTAAGGAGAAGATACCAACCTGACTTTCCCAAGACGCTCGAGGTCGAAAGGAAAGAGCACATTGTCGGATGTGATGAAATAAACGTTGCCCTCGGAATAGTATATCGTATCGGTATTGACCGTATACTTCTTCGCCTGGCCAGCTGTCTCGCCGCCAGCAACGGCTTGATTGAAAGTGGTCAACATGAGGGAAATGTCGTGGCGGAAGTGGTAGACATGAGGGATAAGTTGAGAAAGAATGGAAGTTGACCAACTCGCTTTAGGTGCCATCCCGCGCCGGAACGTTTCCGTTTTGACATTACGCACTCTCGAGTCGACAGTCGGTATACGAAGTGACAGGAGGCAGGGCTTGAGGGTGCTTCAGACATCAATGACGTGTTTATCAGCCAACGTACCCCCTTCGTCGGACTACCATTTAGTCATCCTACTGGCTGGTTTTGTCTACTCTCAGCATCTTCCTCGAGCACCTCACATCTGCTGCAGATGCACGAACGTACGCCGACCCTGCTATCGCGTCGATTTCCCTTCTCGAGGGAGGTTTCCACTCACTTGTAAGATACACGCGTTTTGAGAGAGACGCGCGTCGCCTGGGTACACGAAGGGAAGGATGTCGGAAAGGCAGGTGGTAAAGAACATGGCCGTATTGACCTCTTTTAAAGCTTGGGAACGAAAGATCAAGAAGTTAATTGAGCTTCATAATAGTGTCTATGCCAGAAATGATAGCTACACATCTGCAAAGAAGGTCGCCAAGAGGTCATCTTTCCATGAATCGAAATTGATGTATTTGGAGGGCCCAACTGGTGGGTATCTAGGTAGTTGGTGGCATAATACTTGGTATTCAACAGTGAGCTCCCAGTTGATGTCTTTGTTGAAGACCGCATGGTATACCGCCAAAGCCCAGGAATCACTCAGCCGCTCGAGTCTCGACGCAAAACCTCCTGCAAAGAAAGCATTGTTGCTCATAGACTGGAGAACACGACTCCCCAAGACCCTGTCGTTCCCATGCGAAGCCATGATGAACATCTCCCATTCCTTCTCCCCCGTCATGAACTTTATCTGACAACGCAGACATTCGTACAGGCTCTCATCGCACCCATACTTGTCCATCAAGGTATAGAGCATTTCACACTCCTCGCAAGAAATGTTCAAGTTCAACCCGTGTGCTCCGCTAAGGGAGACGAGGTTCAACCAAGGCTGGAGAGCTTTTGCATTGCACTCGGGAAAGATGATGACAGCATCAGTATGCCTGGAGATGTCTTCTCGCTCGTTGAGCGATAGCTCATTGAGTTTCTCGAGGATGGTCTGGCCGGAAATGGGAGCTCCGATCTCTTTACCGGAAGGCTGCGGGATGTTGCGGAGGTCTCGGAAAACTGAGCTATTGAATAGGTCAGCCTCACACAGCGCCCTGCCCTCATGCTCTCGATAGTGAGTGGAAGATACTAACCTGACTTTCGCAAGACGATCGAGGTCGAAAGGAAAAAGTACGTTGTCGGATGTTATGAAATGAACGTTGCCCACGGAATAGTATATCGTATTGGTATTGAGAGTATACTCCTTCACCTTGCCGGCCATCTCGCCACCAGCATCAGATTGATTGGAAGTGTTCGACATGAGGGGAACCTCGTGGCCAGAAGTGGTAGACATGATGATATGTTGAGAAAGCATGGGAATTGACCATCCCGCTTTACGTGCCATCGCGCGCCGAAAACGTTTCCGTTTTGACATTACGCACTTTTGAGTCGACAGTCAGCATACGAATTGACCGGAGGCAGGGCGTGAGGGTTCTTCAGACATTGATGGCGTGTTTTGCAGCCAACGTACCCCCTTCGTCGGACTACCATCCAGTCAGCCTAGTGGCTGAATCTGTCTACTCTCAGCTTCTTCCTCCAGCACCTCGCAGCTGCTGCGAATGCACGAACGTACGCCAACCCTGCTCTCTCGTCGGAATCATAACTCGAGGGGGGGTTTCTGCTTACTTGTACGATACACGCGCGTTGAGAGAGAAGAACATGGCCGTATTCACCTCTTGTAAAGCTTGGGAACGAAAGATAAAGATGCAATCGAGCTTCATCATAGTGTCTATCCTAGAAATGATAGCTATGATAGCTACACAATTGCAAAGAAGGTCTCATAGAGGTTATCTTTCCAGAAATCGAAATTTATGTATTTGGGGGGCTCCACTGGTAGGCGCTTCATGTAACGATGGGTTTCTGTCAATTCATCAGTGAGTCCGAGGTTGACGTCTTTGTTGAAGACTGCACGGTATACAGCCATGGCCCAGGAATCACTCAGCCGCTCGAGTCTCGACACAAAGCCTCCTGCAAAGAAAGTATCATTGCTCATAGACTGGAGGACACGACTCCCCAAGACCCTGTCGTTCCCATGCGAAGCCATAATAAACAAATCCCAAGGCCTATCGTTTCCCATGAAAGACAACTGAGACCGCAAAACTTCGTAAAGGCTGTCATCGCACCCATACTTGTCCATCAAAGTGTAGAGCTCTTTGCAGTCCTCGCAAGAAATTCTCAGGCCTGATCCGTATGCTCCCCCATCAGAGACCAGGTTCAACCAAGGCTGGAGAGCTTTTGCATTGCACTCGGGAAAGATGATGACAGCATCAGTATGCCTGGAGATGTCTTCTCGCTCGTTGAGCGATAGCTCATTGAGTTTCTCGAGGATGGTCTGGCCGGAAATGGGAGCTCCGATCTCTTTACCGGAAGGCTGCGGGATGTTGCGGAGGTCTCGGAAAACTGAGCTATTGAATAGGTCAGCCTCACACAGCGCCCTGCCCTCATGCTCTCGATAGTGAGTGGAAGATACTAACCTGACTTTCGCAAGACGATCGAGGTCAAAAGGAAAGAGCACATTGTCGGACGTGATGAAATGAACGTTGCCCTTGTAGTAATACATCGTGTTGACCGTATACTCCTTCAACTCGCCAGCCCACTCGCCACCGGAATGGGCCTGATTGGAAGTGGTCGACATGAGGGAAATGTCGAGGAAGAATCAGATGGTGGAAGCTGGTGAAGGTTGCGCTTTGGATGTACGAAGCAGCGTCGATGAGAAAGAGAAGAAAAGGAAAAGTGTCATCCCGCTTTGCATGTCATCGCCCGCCAAATCCATTTTTAGTTTGACAGTACGCACTCCCGAGCTGCCGTTCCGTGTACAAATCAACAACAAGATACCAGGTGTATATACCAACGACGTGTTTATCGACCAACGTACCTCCTCCCGAGCCCCATCAGTGTAGTGCAGTACGTATGAATGAAAACCGTCAAACAGCTGACCACCTCAATCAACCTTTCCATTTCTTCCGTACACGTACGCCGCTTGCCCAAAGTCAGCCTCTCAGATCAATCCCCCTCACAACAGTTTGAGGACCTCGACGAATTGAGACGGAAAGACAGGCCAATTATCTTGTATTTCCTCCTCCTCGCGCCAACTGTCTTGGTGGCGGCACCGATACGACGGGCTGGGGGCGGAGGCTTGTGGACTAATGGTACGGTGACACATATTTGCATCTTGTATCCCGATCTACTGAAAGACACAGCTCACATTTCATTTGCTTCGAGATAAGGGATAATCGCTGCGGTCGCTGATGGATCGATGAGCATTTGATGAGACAACAGCGAGCCAGACAAATCAACTCTGTTCTCTGTTGCTATTCTGCTGATGTTCTCTTAAAAACAAGACGCAGCATTGGCCATCACACGCTACTACAATCCAACTCATTCAAGCCAGTTCCTCACCAGCTACGGGCTAGAATAGTGTTAAGTAACCCTCTTGTCTACGTAGATCTTAGCTCTAAGTACTATCGGGACCTTCAGAAGTGTGATCAAAGAAAGCTATTCCGTCCTCATAAGCCCGTTCCAGGTCACGACGAACGATAGCAATGATAGTGTTCCGCCTCTCATCATTTACAGGAAACAGCATCGTGCCAATCCCAAATTCCATGCTCATCGAGCTGCCATTACGCCAATTTGTGCCTCCTTCCTGTCCTACTTTCTCGGTCCATTCTTGCAGAGTGAGGTTGGTTCTTGACGCTGGTGTCTGGAGGTTGAGCCTCGGGTTCCCGGACATCAAACTTTGGTATCCACTGAAAGCGAATGTGATGCCGTCAGGAAACTCGCGCTCTAGCACCTCTTCATTTTTATTATCATCACTTCCTTCGGATGATTGATGAGAAGGATTTTCCAGCTCCTGTTCACTTGGGCCTCCGGCTGTGGCAGTCATGCCGGGAACATCATTAGCGAGGATAGAATCGTATATTACTTCTTCTTGACGGTCTTCCGTTTCCGCGACAGGCGATGGACTGTTAGATCTGGTGGAGCGATTATCAGACATCGGTAGCACTCTTTGTTTTCTTTGCAGTGATGGACTTTGTAATGGGGCCTTTGACAGCTGCCGGCTTTGCTTATAAACGGGCAGGTGGAGCCTGAAATCTATTCCTGATCATTAGCCCGAATCTCAACGCGTGAAAGGTGCAGCTTGGCTCCTCCTGTCCGACATCTCTCGGGGCACGTTTTTGGCACGATCGTATACCGACGAGATGGTCTGAGGTGAAATTGCGACAATGCTCCTCTCATACACCGCAGTTATCTCCAAGCCTAAACATACATAGCCATCTATTATTGGACGGATGCAAAGGGGACAATTCGAGTGGACCTTGTGTAAGATTAGATTGCACATATCATATAGAAGACACCACCGTCTGTGCAGTGGTGGTGTATCTGGCATAATGCCGTACTCAAAGTAACTTATGGTGCAGCAGCAGCTGTACGTATGAATCAAACGTCAAATAGCCGACCACTCAATCAACCTTCCAAACGCGTTGGAACTTTGTATGGCTTGGACTAGTATTGTGGCTGACATACTCGACGAAAGTTCGTTAGTAGACGAAAAGAGATGCTCGAGAATATGGCAACAGTAGACAGAGTCGGTTGCGAGGACGATCGATCAATCAGACGAAGGCACCTGATGGGGCTCGGGAGGTACGTTCGTCGATAAACACGTCGTTGGTATACACCCCTTGGATCTTCTTGTTGATATGTACGCGGAACGTCAGCTCGCGAGTGCGTAATGTCAAAATAAAAATGGATTCGACGGGCGATGTCATGTAAAGCGGGATGGCACTTTTTCTTCTCTTTCATATCGACGCTGCTTCGTACATCCAAAGCGCAACCCCCTCCAGCTTCCACCATCTGATTCCTCCTCGACATTCCCCTCATGTGGAACACTTCCAATCAATCCGATGCTGGTGGCGAGTGGGCTGGCAAGGCGAAGGAGTATACGGTCAACACGATATACTATTCCAAGGGCAATGTCCATTTCAACACGTCCGACAATGTGCTCTTTCCTTTTGACCTCGATCGTCTTTCCAAAGTCAGGTTAGTATCTTCTCCTCACTGTCGAGACCATGAGGGCAGGACGTTTTACGAGGCTGACCTATTTGATAGCTCCTTTTTCCGAGACCTCGACGACATCCCGCAGCCTTCCGGTAAAAAGATCGGAGCTCACATTCCCGGCCAAACCATCATCGATAGACTCAACAACGAGCTATCGCTCAACGAGCGAGCAGACATCGACATCCCCACGCATATGGATGCTATCATCATCTTTCCCGAGTGCGACGCAAAAGCTCTCCAGCCTTGGTTGAACCTCGTCTCTTTCGGGGGAGCATACTTTACGGATCAGGTCTGAGGATTTTTTGCGAGGACTGCAAAGAGCTCTACACGTTGATGGACAAGTATGGGTGCGATGACAGCCTCCACGGAGTTTTGCGGTCTCAGTTGTCTTCCATGGAAAGAGATAGGCCTTGGGATTTGTTCATTATGGCTTCGCAAGGGAATGACAGGGTCTTGGGGAGTCGTGTTCTCCAGTCTATGAGCGATAATACTTTCTTTGCAGGAGGCTTTTGTGTCGAGACTCGAGCGGCTGAGTGATTCCTGGGCCTTGGCTGTTTACCATGCGGTCCTCAACAAAGACATCAACTTGGAGCTCACTGTTGAATGGATGGCAACCCACAATAATGGATCTAAACACGTACGAGTGGCGCCCTCCATATACATCAATTTCGATTTCTGGAAGAAGGACCTCTTGGCGACCTTCTTTGCAGTTGTATAGCCATCATTTCTAGGATAGACACTACGATGCAGCTCGATAAACATCTGTATCATTCGTTCTCAAGCTTTACAAGCGGTCAACACGGCCATGTTCTTTACCACCCGTCTTTCCGACATCCATCCCTTCGCGTACACAGGCAGCGCGCGTCTCTCTCAAAGCGTGTGTATCGTACTAGTAAGCAGAAGCCCCCCTCGAGAAGGGAATTCGACGAGAGAGCAGGGTTGGCGTACGTTCGTGCATTCGCAGCAGCTGTGAGGTGCTCAATCCCCATCATAACAGCTTGAAGACCTCGCGAATTGAGAACGGAAAGACAGGCCAAAGAAAGGTGAGGCCATGACGCCCATTCCCATTTCCCAAGCTGCCCTCCATTTCCCCAACCTCATCCAATCAACCACTGCCGTCCCCCTTCCCTTACGAACGACCCTCGCCTCTCTCCCATACCATGTCCACTCGCGAAACGTAGTCACACGTATCACACGACGACGGTCAACCCGTTCTCGCAAAAGATGCGAATATGCAAAGAATTCCAAAACTACTGTATGCATAACCGTAGTCTTTCATTACATTGCCCATCTACTCTCTTCTCTTCTATCCCCACCCACCCCCCACCCCCCCCAGATACCAACAGTACAGTCGTCCCTCCCCGGATACCGGAAAGGGTCTGATATTTGATATACAAATCGTGAGAAAGGCGGGCTCGGGCGAGCTAGGAGGGATAAGGTGTGTGTGTGGGGGGCGAAAAAGACGACAGTCGGCTTGATGGAGATCGGGAAGGGAGGGAGGGACGAAGGGGGAAGAGATTTTATTCAGCAGGTCGGACTTGTAGGTCTGAAAGGTCGACTTGGGATCCGACGGGAATGTTGAACGGGGAGGCTTGTTCGAATCGGCTATCATGTAATGTCAGTATCATTCGTACGAGAGATGGTGTTTTGAGATAAACAGAAGCAGGGCAAGGAGAAGAGAGGGGTGCGAGGTTGCTGTTGGGGGACGCGTCAAGTCGACCGCGGCACTTTCCACCACCGATCCCCACACCCACTCCCTCCTCCAAGCTCAAAGCAGACTCACCTAGGATACCTCATCCTCAACACCCTCGGCCTCTCCGCCTCCTGGAACAACAACCTCCTATCCGCCTCCTCCTTTGTCAACTCCAAATGCCTATCCGCCCTCTCCTTCCAAACACTCGCCTTCTCCGTCTCCCTCACAAACCACCTCGTCAACCACGGCAGCTCGCCCTCCACATCCCGCCTGGCGTCTTGGAACGCGTCCGGCGAGAGGGAGGGGGAGAGGTTGGATTTGGAGGGGGTGGGGAGGTAGGGGAAGATGAGGGCGGCGGTGGTGAAGAGGAGGAAGGCGTTGCGCCACTTGGGGTTCAGGAATGCTAACCCTTCGTCAGTCGGGCTCGGGTGGGGGGGTGATGACGCACATTCTTTGGTATAAGTATCACTCTGATCCTCCTCGGCCCCATGCCCCCCATGCGCCGCCCTCTTCGGTGCGGAGCTCTGGATACTCCTCACCCCCACTCTCCTGAGCTGGGTCTGTCTTAAAAGTGGTCGGAGGGACATGCTTGTGGGTTTATAGGGAAGGGACCAAATGCGCAAGAGATGATAGGCGGGGGAGGGCTGCACGGGGAAATGCGGCGTTATGCGCCGAGGCGGGAATTAGCTTCCGTTTCTGGCCTCTCGTTGCTCCTCGTCGAGCCATAGTATACCCCGTCCTCGCTTTTTACTCGTCTACAGCAAGGGGTACAGTGCATCCCCTCACAGAACACTACTCTCCCGACACTCGGGCTGTAAACAACGCGTCAAAAGTCTACTATCTGCACCCCGGTCGTGTCACTCGGAACCCCCGAAAGCCATCTCGTCATCCCGCGCGTCTTTCCCATCCACCCTGCATCATGGCCACCCAATGCATCAAATGTACGCCCCCCTTTCCCCCTCTTCCCCTCTGCCCCAAGCTAACCCTCTGGCAGGCGTAATAGTAGGCGACGGCGCCACCGGCAAAACCTCCCTCCTCATCGCCTACACCTCCCCCTCCTCCACCTTTCCCCCAAACATGGAATACGTCCCCACCGTATTCGACAACTACTCTGCGGAGATGTCGGTTGATTTGGGCCCTGGGCAGGGGGGAGGGAGGAGGGAGGTGAATTTGGGGTTGTGGGATACGGCGGGGCAGGAGGATTACGAGTACGTCCTATCTCTCTTTCTTTCTCATTCTTGGGTGGAGGGGGAGATGGGGGTATGGGAGAGGGGAAAAGGGCCAAGCTGATTCGAGGGAATAGTCGCCTCCGCCCCCTATCATACCCCCAAACAGACATTTTCCTCGTCTGCTACTCTTGCGTCTCCCCCGCATCTTTCGAGAATATCAAGTCTGTACGTCCCTCTCCCCATCCCCTCTTATTCCTCCTCTCCTCCTCCTGCTCCTTCTTCTCTCCTCCCCGTCTCTTTTTTGACAAGAGCAAGGGGCTAGCAGCGAGAGAAGGGGCCGCAGAAGGGGGTGGTCATTGACAGTGGAGGCTCCCGCTAACTTTCCTGCTTTCTGCGTCTGCGTCTGTGTCTGTGCGTTATTGATCGTACCTAGAAAGTGAGTCGCCCATCCCCCTCTTCCGTACCCCTTTCCTCTTTCCTCTTTTCTCTTCTTCTCTTCTTCTCACATATCAATGCTCACAAGCCCAACCAGTGGATCCCCGAACTCCAGCACCACGCCCCCCAAACGCCCTTCCTCCTCCTCTCCCTCAAATCCGACCTCTCCTCCCACCCCCCAACGCTCCAAACGCTCGCCTCCCGGCACCAAGCCCCCATCAGCGCCGCCCAGGGACAGGCGCTGGCGAAGGAGGTGGGAGCGCTGGGGTGGGGGGAGGTGTCGGCGAAGACGGGGTGGGGGGTGAGGGAGGTTTTTGAGCGGGCCGTTAGGGGGGCTTTGGGGCCGCCTTCTGGG